TAGTGTCGTGTAGTGTAATGTAGTGTAGTGTAGTGTAATGTAGTGTAGTGTCGTGTAATGTAGTGTAGTGGAAGGTAGTGTAGTGTAGTGTAATGTAGTGTAGTGTAGTGGAGTGTAGTGTAATGTAGTGTAGTGTAATTGAATGTAATTGAATTCAATTGAGTGTAGTGTATTGGAGTGTAGTGTGGTGTAGTGGTGGTTGTAGTTGAAAATGCTGCAAAACCCTCACGTTTTGCTCACTTTTGACAAGGTGCACAATCCCATGCGCCTGCCACGCGAAGCGACATCTGAACCTCCAAAATTGGTCCAACCCCTGGTGTTTTTAACATTTTGACTTTGAAACGTGCTTCGCGCCACAACGGCGTGCACTTTTTTGACATCGCAACTTCCAAAAGTGGTCCGACAATGGTGTGTTTTGTACATTTTGACTTCGAAATGTGCTTCGCGCCACAACGGCGTGCACTTTTTCGAGATCTGAACCTCCAAAAGTGGTCCGACACTGAGGTGCTTTGTACATTTTGACTTCGAAATGTGCTTCGCGCCACAACGGCGTGCACTTTTTCGACATCTCAACTTCCAAAAGTGGTCCGACACTAAGGTGTTTTGTACATTTTGACTTCGAAATGTGCTTCGCGCCACAACGGCGTGCACATTTTCGACATCTCAACTTCCAAAAGTGCTCCGAGACCCAGGTGTTTTGTACCTTTTCACTTCAAAATCTGCTTCGCGCCACAACAGCGTGCAATTTTTCATCTCTCACCTGGCCAGCTGGCTCCGCACCCGCCGCTTTAGCGAGCCTACTTTTCGACCCTCCGGAGCCTCAAATCATTGGAAAAACACAGTGTTTCGCGACTTTCCCTACCTTTTCGCGCATCTGCATCTTCTTTCTTCTGACTCTTTCTCTTCTACTCTTCTCTCTTCTAATCTTTCTCTTCTCTCTGCCTCTGCCCAGCTCTGCTTTTCATCTGTCCACATTGTCGGAAGTTTGACTTCTAAACTTCCTTCGATAATAATATGTACATACGTACATATATATATATACATATGTATACATAGCTGATACATATATACATATATCATATACATATTATGTATATACACCATATATGCCACGGTAAAAACGTGGTCTATGGATGTCTATGGGCTGTGGTCATCCATCCCACAATGGGAATCCTTCTGACGGGTACAATTAAATCCCTATTGGATCCTATTGGGGGATTGATGACCATCCCTCAAGATGGCTATGTAAACACAATTTTGACCATGGCACATATGAGCAACTGACAATCACATGCTCAAGAACCCATCAAGCGGGGATGGACATTTTAACCCGGCAGTTGATTTACCAAGTAGCTACAGCATAACAGTACAACCCCGTCTCGATGAATGATAATATTTCACAATCCTGAAATAAGGCCATTCTGGTATATGTCTATACCCTTACCCTTTCATATCCAACCCTGATACAACTGAAGGCCCAGTGAAATTCTCTGAGTGATGTGTTCAGTGTCCCACCCAGCAGTCCCGCATCTTATATAACGCTTGTTTTGGTTACCGCCCACAGTCTCGTGGACTGTACTTCAACCAGAGAGGGAAGGCCTCAAAATACTTCAGCGGCAGAGAGTCATCCCCGAAAAGATCAATCCAGTGGCCCGAAGGGCCCGAACCATCTCCAATTATCGTTGATACCATGGTATGCTCCTATTTGGGATAATGTAAAATGAGCCCCAAATGCTTACGGAGGTAAAAGGGCCGAAAAGATTGGCAGATCCGCATCTTTCGCCGATGAAACTTTCGGGGAAGTGCCAAACGATATAGATTTTCTGAGGCAAAGAACTGCCGGAATGACCTTTTATGGCCTAAATTTAACATAGCCATGGAAAATGGTTGATTTTCCCATTAAAACCTCCATTTATAGGGGATTTTCCATGGCTATGTCAAATAACCAGATGGTAAATTGTATGGCCTCTCGAAATAACTCTTCTCATTGGAAATAGCGTTGCCAGGGTCAATGACTTAGCATCAGGGTTCTGAACTTTGACACCTCTTCGAACACGATACTGATCCATGTTCCGAATATATGAGGGATTAAATCAGGCAACCCCTTTGGAGAGGGAAACCAACAAATCACAATGATGGAATATGATTTGAGCATGGCTCCTGGCTTCTGGATCTGGGCCGTGGCTCCAAAAATCCAACAGATCGTCTGGGACTGTTTTGGGATGGATCTTGGGTCGGGCCAGACCCACCTTGGTAGTTTGGCCGTTTGGTTCCCATAGAAAATGGTCCAACTTTTTCGAGACCTTCCCACTCCGGGGCAATTTTCAAAAAGGCGACTTCAAGATCTTCAAGGAACAATTTGAAATGAAACTGCGCAGCTTCTTCTGGCGTCCGCGAAGAAATTATATGCGTCAGAGTTCCGACACCAAGAGGAGGGATGGATAGCCCCTAGCTGCTAGCCGTTTATGTGAACACCAACTGGGGGATGGTTCAAAATAAGTTGCAGGTCAAGATAGGGACTTATAGCAACGGTATGTGAAGCCCAAACAAAAAGCCGGGTGATCTCCAATCTTTTGCATGTACTTGAACTATATCATTTGATGGTTTATCTACTCTGGAAGGTGATGAAGATGATGAAGTTGCGTTGTTTCATCGATTTCTGGCCAGATTTCTCATGGGATCATGGCATGAATGGGAAATCCCACTGAGACGATCCACTGCATGATGACAAATTCCAGTGCTTTCTTTTTCTTCCATGCGATGAAAAAAAACTTATCCATCTGCAAAACGAGATGGTATTTTCTTGGGGCGGCGCAAAGCGAACAAATCGTCACAACCGCGTCAGCCCCATCTTGCGGACGAACGTTGCCATGCGAGCGATCGGCGCCAGCACCGTCAGTTTGATCGGTGAGCGGTGGCACTTTCCAGCCCAGGTGAGGGGAAGCAGTGGGGAGATCCCTTCCACGGCAATGATTCTATGTGGGATTCCAAAGCAGTAATATATATATATATATATATGTGTGTGTGTGTCGTATGTCTATGGATTATATATATGTATATATACAATATCATAGTGTATATTTTAATTAATTATATGTGAATTATATATATTTATCAACTAATTATATTTTGATTATATATATGATATGTTAATTATAAATGGATTATATATATATATAATAATATACATAATGTGTATATATATATATATACGGAATTATATATACATTATGTATGTAATTATATTTACATTAGTTGACTGGTGGTTATCATACACACAATCTGGGCCCCTTGACCATGACCGAGGGTTTTTTGGGGGTTGACAGCAAGTTTGACCTAATAGTACTACAGTAGATCTATGGTAGTAGCATAGTAAAGGTATACTTGAACCACACAAAGAGTTCGACCATGTCAAGGGAGCGGTTGGTGCCGTAACTGAGTTTGATCACAACACTGGGGATTCTGACGAGGCAAATCCAGGGGCATTTAACCTGTTGGAGAGGGGAGTCAGCGATACAGGGAGTTGAATCATGAGAATGAGGGCACTTCTATGACCCTTTCTGGTTGGTGGTTTTAACCCCTCTGAAGAAAAATATTAGTCAATGGGAAGGATTATCCCATATATTGTGGAAAATAAATTGCTTCACTTCGAATGATCCCCACCATGGCATTTATACAGTTTCTTACTGGCAAATCTTCTGGCATTCTATCTGGCAAATCTTCTGGCATTCTATCTGGCATTCTATCTAGCATATGTTCTGGCATATCTTCTGGCATATCTTCTGGCATTCTATCTGGCAAATCTTCTGGCATTCTATCTGACATATCTTCTGGCATTCTATCTGGCATATCTTCTGGCATTCTATCTGGCATATCTTCTGGCATATGTTCTGGCATATCTTCTGGCAAATCTTCTGGCATTCTATCTGGCAAATCTTCTGGCATTCTATCTGACATATCTTCTGGCATTCTATCTGGCATTCTATCTGGCATATCTTCTGGCATATGTTCTGGCATATCTTCTGGCATATCTTTTGGCATTCTATCTGGCATATCTTCTGGCATTCTATCTGGCATATCTTCTGGCATTCTATCTGGCATATCTTCTGGCATATTCTATCTGGCATATCTTCTGGCATTCTATCTGGCATATCTTCTGGCATTCTATCTGGCCGTTGAGGTCCGGCAGTGCCCACTGGGATCTGGAGCTCGCGGTTGAGGTCCGGCAGTGCCCACTGCGATCTGGAAGTCGCGGTTGAGGTCCGGCAGTGCCCACTGCGATCTGGAAGTCGCGGTTGAGGTCCGGCAGTGCCCACTGCGACCTCGCGGTTGAGGTCCGGCAGTGCCCACTGGGATCTGGAGCTCGCGGTGGAGGTCCGGCAGTGCCCACTGGGATCTGGAGCTCGCGGTGGAGGTCCGGCTGTGCCCACTGGGATCTGGACTGCGAGGAGGAGGAGGCGGAGGAGGAGGAGGCGGATGCGGAGGCGGAGGAGGAGGAGGAGAACAGCTCTGATAAAATCTAACAACCCTCACCTGGCAGGTGGGGAAAAATGTTTGAAACCACCAACCAGCTTTTTAATTTTTACGATTCTCCTTCTAGTGAACTTTGGGTGCGGCAGTTCGTAGAAACGCCCGCAGGGGTTTTTAGGTGGGGAAATGTTTTTTCTCGGATGCGGCAGGGTTTTCCTCAGGAGTTCCCCCTCCAAAAAAAAATATGGCACTTTTAACTATACAAACTACAGCCAATCGAATCTAATGATAGATGCCATGAAAAATACCCCTATCCCGTCTGATTGTATTTGTTGGCTGACAGGTATTCCCGTTGTGGGTTATAACAATCGCCAATAAACTCTTTAGTCCATTTCATAACCAATCAACAGTGGTATTTTTAATGACGCTAATATGGGATATGGGTATTTCCAATGTGGATATGGATGGGAACTGCTCACTGTGGCTTCCCAACCTGTGGCCGAAAAATGCCTAGCGCGCAAAGCACGCCTTCAGCGCCCTTCCGCGCTGGACCTGAAGGGTTGGATCCATGGCTGATCCCAGACGCTTCCACGCGTCTCGGCCGCCCCAAAGCAAACTTCACCTGGGAAAAACCGGGCTGAATTCGGTGCCGGAATTTTGGGGGGCCAAAGCTTCCCAAATTCTGTGATTCCCCCATCTTTGGGGGTCCAAAAACAGGGAAATCAGAAAAGCCTAACTCTGCAAATCCAAGTGACCTAAGCAAAGACGACTGTTCACATCAAACTGGAGCATGTAGTCCACCATCTGAGTTAGCTCCTCAGCTACGGTTGGGCGGTTGGGAGCTGAGACCGTTGAAGTCTCATTACCAATATATTCCACCAGAGGAGGGGAACCCAACCGCTTGGGAAAAACTGTGGATTTCATCAAAAATAAGGGATGTTCTGAAGTGCAACGCAACCATGAAAAGCACACCTGGCAATGAAAAAGCCGCACTTTTCGAAGACATGAATATATCTGGGTAAATTATAATATTTCACTAACCTGAATTACGGCCATTTGGGGATGATTTCCCTTACTAACTATGATTATAGTGAGGTCGCAGTGAGGTCGTTTTAATTTACCCAGATATATGAATCATTATTGAATATTTTGAATCATCTACAAGCAGGAGACATCTCCGCCGAGGTTCCAAGGCAGAGGCCGTCCTAAAGAGCCTAATTCTGGGATTTCAGCCATGTTTGCTGACACCAGGAGGCGAAATCCCATGGTCAGTTATTAACCATCATTAACCATCATTCAACATCATTAAACCATCATTAAACCAGCATTAAACCATCATTAACCATCATTAAACCGTCATTAACCCATGATTAACCCATGATTAACCCATGATTAACCCATCATATCGCTGGCCGCGGCTGCCACTTGATCAGACTCGCCCTTTCCGGCGTCGTTTCATCCAAGACTCGGTACTCATCACCTCTGCAAGGTGTTCCGTGCCTGGCTGAAAAGCGATGTGACCGACCAAAAACAGCTGGAGCTTTGCAACAAAAACCATGGGATTTATGGGAAAAAATATGGGAAATGATGGGAAGATGTTTAGAATATGTCTCGAATACGTCTCAAATGTCAACTGGTCCCAGGGATTCATGGAACAACTTGATCCCAAAAAAGCTGGCGTCTGAAAAGTAGCCCCGATCCAGATGTTTCGGACACTCGACCAGCCTTTCCGCAACTTCCTCTTCCTCAAAAACTTCATGAGGCCGAAGGTCGAGATGTAGTCCTGGGTTGCTGGGCTGGGGTGCACCTTGAGTACACCCAGGATCTGGACGGGTCAAACCAGCTGAAGTAACGTTACATCCAAGGCTCAAATAGCTGACATGCACCTGGCGTCCAAGGCGCGCTCGGGGAACACCAAATCACCAGCCATCCCGGGTTTTCCGGGGAAAAACAATCCCGAATCAAACGCTGGCCACACCAATCCCAAATGTGCCAAAAGATGGTATGCTTCATGGTCATCCATCCCATATTCGGAATGCTTACAATGGGTATCTAAATCCCTATGAATGGATATATGATATATATGTCTATCCCCGATATGGGTAGACAATCCCACTCTTGACTATGGCACAAATGGGAGATGATAGTAGATGATAGTAGTAGTAGGAATGCGTGCAGGAGACCCAGATCTTTGATGGTCAAAGTGATGTTGACTTTCACCACAAAAAAAAACACAGTGGCATGGGTTCAATCCCAAGCCAAACGACCAATGTGACGATGCCAGTATGATAGGGGATAAGAACATGGAGCTGCTGTACTAGTTCATACAAACACAACCAGAATTGGATAGAATTGGTGGTTTTGGACCAATAAATGGGAATGAGGACAGCAGATGAATATAAGCAGCAAACATGGAGATACTATAATAACTAATGTAGAGTGGGTCAAAATTATTTTTGGTTGGTGTTTGAGCCACCCCTACCCCCCAAAAAAAGTGCGGAAATTCGGGATGATCATATGAGTGGCGGACAAAATTACTTACTACTCGCAATGGACATGGCAAAAGTTGGTGGTCCCCTATCGGTTGCGAAAGTTTTCACACAAACTTGAACATCCACTCATCCACTCACTACTTTAGTATTCTGCTAATGTTGTCGGTTACTCATATATCATCATCCATTTTTGATGGGAATAGAGAGCATGTTGGAAGTCGACAATCCTGCAGGTGTTGTGCTGATGCTAGGACTGGTAACCCCGCAGAAAAAAAGGTCCGAGGGACAAGATGTGAATGACAAACACGTGAGTTTCATCGTGAATGACAGATCCTATATCTACAAATGGTATAGTCCAACAGTAAAGAAATGATCATTCACAAGTCTGTATCAACTCGCCATTCCTAAAACAATCTCGCATGGCCAGGGACCATGAAAAAGGCGCCATCGGAGACAAAGTCTACGAAAGGGATTGCTGCAGCATGTGTTTTCCTGTACATAACCCTCATCGCCTCCCGGCAACACAAAGTCATTATATTATAGACAAGAGCCCAAAATTTGGATACTGTGCATATTATATGTTTTTCTTTGGATCCCAAATGATCCCAACAACCTGTATCAAGTCTGTTCACATTTCTCGCGTCCACTGACCCCTTGCACCAGGTTTTTTCTGCAGCCACACACTGAAAGTGGTCCACGACATCGGCGCCCAGCGCACCTTTCTTGGTTGAGGTCCAGGGGTAGTCTTGCACGGCCATGGCGAAAACCACCACCCCCAAAGCAAAGTCGTCAGCTAGGAAGGCGTCCTCGATGCGGGAGATGATGGGAGCCAAGTCACCCTGGTACCCTAGGGTAAACATAGAAAAAGATCTGCAAAACCAATGGTTTCCCAAGGAAAATCGTCTACAAATGGTTGATGTTCTAAATCGAACTGTTTAGTTTACCAAGGTACTCTAATGAATCTCAAAATAGCTGGGATATGCTGTGATTTAAGATGTGAACATCCCCCCGAAATATCCGAAATCATGGGCTTTGACCCATAGCAAAATGACTCTCCATGCTGTGAAGGTCGACCTGCCTGAGCTTAAACGGGGAGACATCACCAACTACGAATGATATGGGGATATCAAGCCGCAATGTTTTGCTCAATGGCGAATCTTCTGTCGGTACCCTGCTCAAAATGATGAGTTTAGGCTGGGCATTGAGTTCTCCCCATTGACGGCTAGAAATGGAGTGATTCACCCAACCAAAACTTGACCTGGCTACGGGTCAAACAAAAACGACCTGGGGATGATCAAGTGGGGGCTTGATGTTTGGCTCATGAGGCACGTGTTTGCAACCAAATCCATTTCTGAACCAGAGAACTCTCCAGGAAGGACGTGGAATGATCCTTCAAAATGGGCCAAGAAACATTGAGAAGTGTGGAAAACACCAAGAGCGCAAAGACATGAATTGGATATGACCCATGCGAATCCATGCGAGACTTCTCAGGTCTGGATAAGTAGCAACACATACCAATAGATTTGGATGTGTTTGAGCCCTGTCTACCTTTGATATCTGGAACATTGGATGATCATCCCGCTTACCAGCTAGTGACGAAGTATGCTTATGAGATCTTGCAAGTTACTAATGGGATAACCACATCTGCGGGACTTATTGACCAGGATCATTCAGTGTGAAATTATATAGGCCTTAACGGCCCTTAGTAGCTGGACCAGCGCTGATCTGCCCAAGCATCATAGGAGTCAGAACCGTGCATCTCAGGTGCTTGATAGGACCTTCCAGCATCGCTGACCAGGGATAGATTGAAGCTACAAAAAAGCGTGGCGATGAACACATCCACCATTTCTAGTAGATTTTCCCCAAATCAACGGTCCATTTGACGATTTCCAAGCTAGCCATGGTGGATTAATCAGAGGCTATATGCATTTATTGTCATTTATTTGCTAACCATCTAACCATCTATGGCTTCCTCAGCCCAGCATTTCTGTGAGGGCTTCAGATCAGACATCTGGTGTTTTGTAGGTTCCCTGGTGGATCAGCCACGGAGCGGTAGCGACCCATTCAAAATGGCATGGGCGACCGACCAATGTGTCACCGGGAGACTGCTTGCCACGAACTTCCCTCTTGCACATCCTGGCTGTTGAAAAATACGGCCGCACGTGCAACAGAGTAGATGGACAATTCAAAAGTATTCTAAGACATACCTGGATCATCTGGATCCTCCAATTATCTGGATAAATTACAATAGTTCACCAACCTGAAAAGTTGGGCGACACTTCGGTCTGCTGCTCACCCCCGGCGGATGCAAGGGTGAACAGTGTCCTGAAAAGTTAGGCGCTTTTGGGATGATTCCCCTTACTAACCATCATGTAGACTGGGGCCTTTATAAATATATTCAGAATATTCCATAATGAATCCAGTATACTAAAGGTATATATTCCAGAATATTCCATAATATTCCATCATTACTAACCATCAGTATATTCAGAATATTCCAGAATGAATGTACAATCCTTACCACTTGCCTGTTCTTTTCGGATGACTACTGCGGATGGTTTGGAAATTGAGCCCTTTTTGCATCCCGGAGGGATTTTTTTGACATCGGGGAAGATGGTAGAACCCAAACAGCTTGGCATGTCAAATGTCCAGGACTTTCTTCAGCTTTTTTTTGTATCTTTCTAGTGGTTTCAGTACCAAAGAATACCAATTTGCTGGGATGGTACTTGACATCAAGGATTGGATGTCTGGTGGAGGTACTGAATTGCTATTCAATCTATATGTGTATAGATATACAGATACATATAAATATATGTATATATATATATACATATTGTATGTATATATTGTATATACACATTATATACACATTCTACTCATGTACCGCAAAGAACGTCTTGTAGACTTCTGTCGCAACCTCCCCATGCGACGCATCGGCGCCTATTCACAGTGCACATCCCAAAATCGATCAGTTTCACTTGTTGCGAACCTGGCTGCGGTCAAGTCGGCGACCTATTTTTGGACCCAAGGTTGGGTCAGTTTCAAAAAAAAAACATGTGAAACCATGTGAACCATGTGAAACCATTTTTTTTGTTGAACCATACTCCATACATCTCCATACACAAACAAACATATGAACCACATAAATTCTCAAACCATCCATTTGGATAAACACGTTTTCAGCCCCTTCAAATCTTTCTGCGGCGCCTGATGCTTCTGTAAGAAGAATGTTCTCAAGGGACAGGTCGCGATGTGCCACCCCCAAATCATGGAGCCACCTGTGCCCGCGCTGTCCAGCTGAGATTGCGGGATTGCCAGGTAAATAGATGTAAATAGAGGTAAGTCGATTGTAAATAATGGTATATGAATAAGTAGTAAAAAAACCTTAAATAAACCCTTATTTTATTGCTCATCAATCAGGGGTTTTGGTCACTGCTTGAGGGGCCAGTCATTGGCCTGGCTCCTGTTTGAGTGGAACAACATCTGCCACTGAGCAAAAAAAACACAGTGTTTTAAGGTTTCTATAAAATCCAAGATTGCATAAATACGTATGTATGGCTTCTGCGTTCGTGATATGGGTCTTCTATATATATATGTATGATTATATATGTAGATGGTATATGTATATATATATATACACATGTGTATACTATATGTATATCATGTATATATATACACACCCATTTGTATATATATATAGAGAGAGAGAGATACATACATATGTGTACATATACATATGTATACATATATATATATATACTGTATATACATATATATATATATGCATGTATGTGTATGTATATATATATATATGTATATACATACACATATATATATATATAATTTATATATATATACATATCTATTCATATTAATATATATAAGGTATATAATATATACAGTATACACCGCTTCCTGCCAGTTGTTTTCAGGTTGCATATCCAAACGATCGTCAAACCCTGGCCCAACTCGTTGTGATTATCAGAAGAAAGTCAGGGTAAACACCAAAGTACAAAGCCACTGTCCTATTTCATGTCCAATTTTTGCCATTTAAAGCATTGAAACTTTGGTGGTGTTTATCATTAGTGCCACATCTTTAAAACATACCATAAAGATTGCAATCAATACCATACAGGGTTAAGTAGAATCATGTCAACAATACACTGCCCACAGCGATGAAACAGTATTCAAATCAATAACAGCCAGTCAAATAAAGAAAAAAACTATCAAAATCTAAGCGAAACACTGCGCGCACGCAGGTGTGATACGACTTCAGGTCACTTGGTACGACGTAAGCCTAGCGGTAGTAGTTCAGAAGCAATCCAGCAGCAGTTTGGCAGTAGCCAGCGGCAGCAACTGAGCAACAGCCAGCAATTGAGCAGCAGTTTAACAGTAGTTGCCAAATACAGTTGAACGTACAGAAGTCACTGATAAGAAAGCAGCTGCAACAAAAAAAGTTCCCCCCAACTGAACGCAACAAAAACTACATATACCCAAAGCATAACTAAATACCTAAACCCAAGCTAAACGCAAGAAAAAACACAAAAACACTTAAAAACATGGTTGCGCTGTGATCACCAGAGTTTGCTTGCGTTTTGCAAAAAGGCACGACTTCCAGGGAAAGCTTCGACGCAACTAAATATAGTCATTTCTGAAAAAAAGGAACGACTTTGTCTAAAAGGTGTATCATACATTCGTACCATTCCCAACCGTCCCAAAGTTGGTGTGAAATTCTGTCTCGTGTTATAGTCATGGGTAGAAACAGTCATCTTATTTAAAAATTCTTAAAGAAAAAACAAAACAACTCAAATCCTGGGGAGAAACAGTCATCTGATTTCTCCTCTGACTCTGGGAAACCAACATAGCTATGGAAAATCACAATCTTTAAGAGGTAAATCAAATTAAATCAAGTTTAAATGACCGTGTGTCACTTTTTTTTTGCTAGTTTAGCGGTGCATTCCTGGCGGTTTTTTGGGAAAACTTCTGGAAAATTCCAAGAAATTCCATCTCTGGAGATCATCAATTTTCTCCGGTGTCATCAATGGCTAGAATGGAAACCCCCAGTGGAAGTTTTATTGGGAAAGTCATTGATGACATGGGAGCTGTTCCAGCAAGCCACGTTGCGCATTACCGGAGGGTATCCCTTCTTTGGGCACCGAATGATCTGTTTTCCATTGGAGGATAGCAACCACCCACCAGTTGTTGGATGGTTGCTATCCTCATGAGATCCCAAATCATTGTCTCATGTTAAATCAAACATGGAACCCAACGGCAACATGCATCAGTAGAATCATCCTCGGGCCCCCGTTGCAAGTTGCATATTATGAAATCTGGGGGGGGTACGGTGTAGCTGCAAGAAATCGTGATTATGAACCGATCCGAATGGTGAGATGTCCCATTTTCTTCACTTTCCCATCTTCAGGCATTTTCTCAGAATCTCTGTTGGTGGACATTCCCAATATTGTCCCTAATGTCAATCCCATATCAATGAACCATGGTTTATTCATTAGGGGGTACTCCTATCAAATAGTGACATATAATCTGAGACTTAAATGGTACCCCCCCAATTAAACAGCATATTGCTCTATTCACCCAGGGTTGACACTATTAAATATATATGGCTAATACTATACTACTGTAATGCACTGTCATGTCAACCTAGGAAAAAAAAATAAGATATACTATAATTAATAATATTATTAAATAATATTACTAAAAAATATTATTAGATAATATTATCAAATACTACTGTATTAATAATAATATGTATTGATATAATTAATAAATTAGTATACTATTATGAAAATTACGAGTATTATACAATCACTATACAGCTATGTTTTATATGCACCTTTAATTTCTGGAAAAATCACGCTGACATCTCGGCAAAAAGGCACCTCACGGCGATGAAGATCTGACCTACGATCGGAAGCATCACGTCCTCGGTGGCGGAACTGGGGGGAAACGTACCATCTGGTGATTTGGGTAAAAGGATCACTTCAGAACACACTCTCAGGCGTCACTTCAGAACACAGCCATTTTGGATCACTTCAGAACACAAAATAACACAACTCATGGAAACCCCGACATACACACACACATCAGATTTAGTGACAGGCGCGAGACTTTGGAAGAAAAACGCGTTCCAAAGCGACACCAACACAAAAAACATCCTCCTATGAGAATTTGACTCGTTTCAACCATGTCATAAAGTCCCACGCCTGCCACGTAAAAGGACAGTCGATGTACAAAAGTGCCACACCTGCCACAGAAAATGAAGGTCGATGTAACAAGGTCCCACGCCTGCCACAGAAAATGAAGGTGAAGATATGAAACAAAAGCCTTGTTGTACTTGATGTAAGAAGCCTTCTTGTACTTGATGTAAGAAGAGCAACGACACCTTTAGGGTTTATATCTTGTTGCACTTGATGTAAGAAGAGCCACGACACCTTTAGGCTTTATATCTCGTTGTACTTGATGTAAGGAGAGCCACGACACCTTTAGGGTTTGTATCTTGTTGCACTTGATGTAAAAAGAGACACGACACCTTTAGGGTTTGTATCTTGTTGCACTTGATGTAAGAAGAGCCACGGCACCTTTAGGGTTTATATCTTGTTGCACTTGATGTCAGAAGAGCCATGACACCTTTAGGCTTTATATCTCGTTGTACTTGATGTAAGGAGAGCCACGACACCTTTAGGGTTTGTATCTTGTTGCACTTGATGTAAGAAGAGGCATGACACCTTTAGGGTTTATATCTTGTTGCACTTGATGTTAGAAGAGCCACAGCACCTTTAGGGCTTATATCTTGTTGTACTTGATGTAAGAAGAGGCACGACACCTTTAGGGTTTTATGTTGTTGCACTTTATCTAAGGACTGCCACGACAACTTTATATCTTGTTGCACTTGATGTAAGAAGAGGCATGACACCTTTAGGGTTTATATGTTGTTGAACTTGATGTAAAAAGTGTCACGACACCTTTAGGGTTACTATCTTGTTGCACTAGATGTAAGAAGAGCCATGACACTTTTAGACATCTTTAGGGTTTATATGTTGTTGAACTTGATGTAAGCAGAGCCACGACACCTTTAGGGTTTGTATCTTGTTGCACTTGATGTAAGAAGAGCCACGGCACCTTTAGGGTTTATATCTTGTTGCACTTGATGTCAGAAGAGCCATGACACCTTTAGGGTTTATATCTTGTTGCACGTGATGTAAGCAGAGCCAGGGCACCTTTAGGGTTTATACCTTGTTGCACTTGATGTAAGAAGAGGCACGACACCTTTAGGGTTTCTATGTTGTTGAACTTGATGTAAGAAGTGTCACGACACCTTTAGGGTTAATATCTTGTTGCACTTGATGTAAGAAGACCCATGACACCTTTAGGGTTTGTATCTTGTTGCACTTATGTAAGAAGAGCCACGACACCTTTAGGGTTTATATTTTGTTGCACTTGATGTGAAAAGAGCCACGACACCTTTAGGGTTTATATCTTGTTGCACTTCATGTAAGAAGAGCCACGACGCCTTTTGGGTTTATATCTTGTTGCACTTGATGTAAAAAGAGCCACGACACCTTTAGGATTTATATCTTGTTGCACTTGGAGTAAGGAGAGCCACGACGCCTTTAGGGTTTATATCTTGTTGCACTTGATGTAAGAAGAGCCACAGCACCTTTAGGGTTTCTATCTTGTTGCACTTGATGTAAGAAGAGCCATGACACCTTTAGGGTTTATATCTTGTTGCACTTGATGTTAGAAGAGCCACGGCACCTTTAGGGCTTATATCTTGTTGTACTTGATGTAAGAAGAGGCACGACACCTTTAGGGTTTTATGTTGTTGCACTTTATCTAAGGACTGCCACGACAACTTTAGGGTTTATATCTTGTTGTATACTTGATGTAAGGAGTGCCACGACACCTTTAGGGTTTATATCTTGTTGCACTTGATGTAAGAAGAGCCACGACACCTTTAGGCTTTATATCTCGTTGTACTTGATGTAAGGAGAGCCACGACACCTTTAGGGTTTGTATCTTGTTGCACTTGATGTAAAAAGAGACACGACACCTTTAGGGTTTGTATCTTGTTGCACTTGATGTAAGAAGAGCCACGGCACCTTTAGGGTTTATATCTTGTTGCACTTGATGTCAGAAGAGCCATGACACCTTTAGGCTTTATATCTCGTTGTACTTGATGTAAGGAGAGCCACGACACCTTTAGGGTTTGTATCTTGTTGCACTTGATGTAAAAAGAGACACGACACCTTTAGGGTTTATATCTTGTTGCACTTGATGTAAGGAGAGCCACGACACCTTTAGGGTTTATATCTTGCTGCAATTGATTTAAGAGGCGCGTTCGAAAGCGATGCATGAGAGCGCGTTCCGAAGCGATGCCTGAAGACGCGTTCCGAAGCGAGGCCCTTACCATTTGACATAGCGAACTGGAAAATCCCAACCATAAATGGAGGTTTCGTTCGCTAGGAAAATCCATGGGAAAATCATCTGTTTCTATGGGCCATGGCTTCCAGTTCGCTATGTGAAAAATCACCAGAGGTACCTTCTGTAAAAACAGCGAGCTGGGACACAGCCGGGATGCATGTTATGAGCCGAAATGAATGTGAATGATAAACATCATGACTATTCTCATACGTAGTTTTTTCTAGCTGGGAATGTGAAGATGAATGAGAATTGGGGTTATGAATGTGAATGACACCACAAAATGATTTGGTATGATAGGTTCTAATAATTCAGTTATATGTTATAATATGTTATAATCCATCGGCAGGTGAGAATTTAGAGCATAGTAAAACGATGATACCAACGAAGAATAGGTGATACCAACGAAGAATCGGTTTTCATCCCCTGTTCTGATATCCAACAAAAACGAGTGATCCATAAGTTTTTGGGGCTTGAAACACGGGTGCTTCTGATGTTTAAATCCCAGTGTGTTGCAAACGATGGTTGAAATCCAGAGAACTAAAGAACTGTGGGAACACTCAGTCCTATCAAATGAAAATGTGTCACGGTGTAGAAAAAAAAAGAGGTTTCCCCCAATTCCGATGGATTTTCTGATCATCTTCACATTCAAACTGCCATTTGGCGGTACCCCATTTCCAGGGGTCAACTGGGCACTATGTCACAGATTGTGATGGATTATGTTTACTTCAGAATCCCGGGGTTAGTTTTCTCTTTATTTTGAGCTTGGTATTGATGACCCCACATGGGTTTGTCTAAAACTAGGAAACATGGTAAAACTAGGGTACCTCAAAATCCAATAAGTTAAAGCCTCATTTTCCCAAGTAAATTGGCTATTCTGAGGCTATCCCTCATTTTTGGATAATCCCATGTGAAAAAAAAAAAACGATATTTAGCAATATCCCAACTAACGAGGTAGGTCGATAAGCCTCTCTTGGACCATAAGTCAACCTGCAACCAGGGCTTTGATCACTGCGATGTAGTGACCAAATATCATATGTTTGGCGATGTAATGGCCATGTATCTCATTCTATCCCCGCGTACTGTTGATCTATGCTTCTATCGGATCATGGATGCGTCCGCCGTCACGAAAAAACATCGGGTAACTGGGCGGGTAACTGGGGGTTCTCCCAGAGATTTCTGTGTGTTACCCTCTGGTAAACTAACATAACTATGGAAAATCACCATTTTGAATGGATAAATCCACTATTTCTATGGCCATTTTCAATAGCTTTTTGTATGTTTACCAGAGGGCAACACACAGAAATTCAGCTGCGAATCAATCCCTTCCCCTAAATCTGAAAAAAACACACCGCTTCGCCTCTTTGAGCCCAGCGTCTTCCCGAGCCCTTCCAGGGCCAGGATCAGCGTCGCACCAGGAGAAAAGGTCTCCTTTTTTCTGGCACCAATTTAAGTGGAAGAAGCAACGTCGCATGACTATGAGGTGACGAAATGACAAAAAACAGATCTCAACAGCAATCAGCCAGAATTCAGGCTTTAACAATAGGGATTTTCCCAAATTGAAATAGGGATTTCCCAAATCAACAGCAATCAGCTTCAACCATCCGCAATCCATCGGGATTTCCCAACTTGAACTCCCAGGGGATTCAACCACCGACCGGTTTCTTTAAAGCACGATGTAAAAAACCGTGAAAAAAAACGATTGGAACGGTTGAAGAATATTAAGATGATCAACAGTTATGGCCGTTTACCAGTTATAAGTACTAACAAAACCCCATAAAATAGATTGTATAATCCCATTTGTATAACCAGTTGTAACTAATAAATGGCCATAACTGAAGGGCTTTTGATATGGCTTTCACAAAAAAATCTGGTGTTCACATGTGTTCACCCTTGAACATCATATGGCTTTCCAGCATTTTTATCAAGGTGTATAAACACCTTGAATGATGGCATGACTTGGGGTCGTTTGGAGTTCACAAAATGTCAACGACTGATAAATTGTGGAAGTTTCATAGTGTCATCCTGAGGGGACTGGGGCCCAAACCTCTGGAAGAATCATCAGTGAAAAACAACCAACTAAGCCTGAAATTTCAGGAACACATATCATTAGTCAATGGAAGATTCTTAAGCAACCAAAATGGGATATATATATATACAGTATATATATATATATTATAAGCAACCAATTATTGTTTTCACTGATTGAAAACGGAATCTACCCGGTATTGGAACATGGTCCGGAAATCCCGAAATGTTCAGTGGTAAAAGTGGCTATTTCACTGGATTTCTTCACATTTGGGGATCTATCATTTTGAGTAATTTTCAGGTTTCTTGTGGCATGGATTTACTGATGCCACATCCATTCTCCAACTTCAATGCCTTCCATGTGGGACCCATCCCAGTCGTCTCCTTGAGTGGCAAGAGATGATGCTACGTAGGTGGTCTCATCGTCTCTGAAAACGCCAATGAGATTACAAACCTCCGGAGGTCAACTGCTGCAGCTGGGAGTTTTTCAGAGGTTTTGTCAATGGTTTTCCATAGAAAGAAAAAAACTTGCATTATTGAGGTTGAGAACAAGTGCTAAAATGTCTCATTTTAATGTTGAACTCTGAGAGTCATAGCTGTTCTAGTCGCAACAACACTGCTTTGCACTAAAAAAACGCGGCAGCGATTGCGCACGTCGCACCTCACTGTCTGAACATAAGATACCCGCTGAGTGCGGGAGTCCATGCTATCCGCTGCTACCCCACATCTTTGGACAAAGCCAAACATCATCTTCTTATCCCATGATATCCCATGAATTCCCATGATATCCCATTACATATATATGTATATATATACATATATACATATATATATACATATACACATATATATATATATATATACATATATACATATATATATATGTGTGTGTGATCATATACATATATATATACATATACATATATATATATGTGTGTGCGATCATATACATATATATATATGATCATATACATATATATATATATTAATAAATTATATCATTAATCTTATCATGATCATGGGATAGATAAAATCGGATATACTGTTGTTGAATGGGATTTGAATGGGATATCATGATAGAATGAGATGGGATGACATTCTATACATCTCCACACCATGATGTCTCCATTTTGCTGGTGTTTTTTCCACCTCTTTGGACAACCCCGGGGATGTCAAAGCATCATTTCACAAGGCCAAGGGACGTAGGGATATCGGATGGAGTTTAAATACCTGGCGCGTATGGGGTGGTCACCAACTTCACCAAGCTATTTTTTGAGGGACGCTGAGAATGTTGTTTAATCTTAAGCACCAAAAACAAAACGCGATGTCATTGATTCAATTGATAGATGAGGGCTGGCTCATGGAAATTAACCCCTTATCAAGCCTGGTTAGAGGGGCTTCTTCAAGCCCTATCGTTGTCTTTGGGGGCAGCCTTTAGCTTCCATGAACATTGCCTTGATCGATGGAATCACTTACATCTGCGCATCCCTACGCCATGAGTGTCCAAAGACATGAACTGATGTCACAGAAACAATTGGGGCTTTGGGGAGCCATGTTTTGTTTGGGAAGCCCCCAACGAATCATCCTCAAGGCTGATGGTTGGAAGTGTTGTGCCACGTAAAGATTTTGCAATCCCCATTTCGACCCAGCCATCCCACGATAGCAACTCAACTTTGTACATGAGGCTCGCCAATCAACCCAGATTTAAAATTAATTTTCTCAAAATTGCTTGGAACAAAAAAAACATGTGCCACAAGCCGTGAAATGGTTGAGTCTTGGGACCCAAATTCCAAGACACACCGAAAGAAAGAAAAACCACCGACCAGGTGTCAGTTGAGTTGATGTCAAATGATGTTTTATTAATCCTATTTTCCCCAAATTCATGAGGCTTGTTGGGCAATGTGTTATCGCTATACGAGATCCAGATTTGAACATCATCATTGGTGACATACCATCTACGCCATCTACGCCATCTAGGTAAATCGCCAATTGGTACCCTCCAGTGATCAAACGTGGCAAGCTGGAAGTCTATCCACTTATAGATGATTATAGATGCAGATCCTGTGAAAACCTCGATTCCTTCCATGGATTTCCCATGGATTTCCCCATCTTTTTCATGGATTTCCCCAGATGGTGACCCCGCAGCCCTGCCTGACGAGGCCGATATCCACCCAGGGCCGTTCCGAGGCGGTCGGGTACTGCTCGTTGAATTCCGTGGGCCCCTCCTGAGGTCGAAATGGATGGGTCAAAAGCCTACCCGAGGTACCCAAAAATCGCTGCAGAAATAGATGTTGATCCCCCCAAAAATATGGTAATAATACGTAAGAGGTTGTGACCCATCCCCAAATAACAACGGGATACAACGGGAACAGAGATAGAAAACCAAGACAAACATATGTTATCTTTACATCTTCCCAACGATAGAAAAGACAACTATGACGGACATGACGGACATATTCCACATGACTTTTTCAGATGCGCTCAGCACACGTAAAACGTCAGATGTATTTTTTTCCGGAGTTTCAATGGGATGATCATCCACAGACTCTCCGAAAATGCCAGGCGAAGCCATTGCTTTGTAACATGCCATCTGGTTATGACATTCACAGTTCGCCATGGAAAATCCACCCATGTTTTAGTTCGGTAAACCATCTATTTCGATTAGGGCCATCGAAAAACCATGGCTAGCCCTGTTAGTCATAACCAGAGGGTAGTTACATAACTATACCCATTAATATCATTCTAATATCATTGCAACATGGGGCTGATCATCCATCCATTGGGGATCCAAAAAGAAAAAACAATGGATAGCCCTGAATAAGGAGCAGTTGAGACTGTGCCTTCTATCCACCAAAAAGCTCGGTCATTTGGGCTAGTCATCTCACATAGATGTCACGAAATAATTGCTTGAGAACAACATGATCTGGATCAAGTAGAATAATTCACTAATCTTAATATATCTTAATAGTTCGGCCATTTGGGGATGATTTCCCTACACATTTATCATCTTTTCAGGGTTCGGTCGCAGGTCGTAAAAAAATTGCCCAGACATAATACTGTGGATGGTTCAGAAATCCTGCACCATTTGGCAACTATTGGTAACTATAGGTCACAGTGGTGCGGGATTTCCCAAACATGGTGATTTTCCATAGCTATTTCCATTTCGCATCCACACAGTATCATACAAATGTATCTGGGTAAATTATCATATTTCACTACCCTGAATTAAGGCCATTTTGGGATGATTCCCCTTACTATGATTATAGTGAGGTCGCAGTGAGGTCGTTATAATTTACCCAGATGTATCATTGGTTCGATCGCAGCGAGACGTCGGATACCCAGTGATTTTTTCAAGTTACGCGCACCCATCGAGTAGGCATGCGTTTGACCTCGGCTCGACCACTTGATCGAGCGTGGCAGGCCGAGGCGGCTTGAAAACTGGGGTAAGCAAAGGGAGATCCCCCGTTGAGAGATAGAAGAGCAACAGAAATAATGCCCTGACATACTTCAAATACAATAAGAGATATGGAGTTTGTTTATGTTTTTTTCTGTGTATCTATGTGCCCCTGACAAAGCAACCCACTGTTTTCTGGTTTGTTCTTGTCTATCCATGTGTTCGATTGTCACTCCCATCTTTAAAAGTGGAAACTAGCAAACTATTCTTACTCATACTACTGGTTAGTTTTTTCAATCTACTGTCTCTCTGAAAATGAGATAGATACTTCTACTTCTCTACAGTCATGCATAGTTTTGAATTTGCGATCATCCCGGCATAACCCAGGTAGTATGCAAGTAGAAACTATCTGAAAATGTTTGAAATACCTCAACGAACCAAAATCTTGTTGGCAAACCTTGCACGTGAACCAAGTAGCTGCCAGCTTCTCGCCATTCTTCTTTGTCATCAAATCGACACGTCCATGGTTGCGCACAGCTTCTTGTAAGAGCATTTGTCCAACATAGTCCTGCTCGACCAGCAAAAACAGTGGCAGCCAAGAATCGGTGCTGGGCAAATCTTGAATCTTAATCGGCTTCGGCACTTTTAGAGATATGGCTATGGGTCAATACCTATAGATACCATTTTTAGTGGGATGAACATCCATAAATCCCAGCTATTTTGATGTTCACTAGGTACCAAGGTTTTGACCCATCCCCATATAAAACTTAAGGTTTTTGACCATGGGTCATGGGTCGAAGCTGGGCAAATATGGGGCAAATTTCAATCATCCGCAGGCCAGAAAGAACGACTCGTGATTCAGTGATTGATGCAGTGATACGCACCCCACCGATGGGCTACCCACTTGTATATTTATAATCATCATCCAGTGTTGTTTAATCGATTTTAATCGTATATTTATAATCATCATCCAAATGGTGATGTATATGTAAACACTATATATATATATCCTCTGGTAAACTAACATGACTATGGAAAAGCACCATGTTTAATTGGTAAATCAGCTATTTCTATGGCAATGTTCAATAGTTTTTTGTATGTTTACCAGCGAGGCATATATTTATAATACATTAGCTATAATAGCCATTTATAGCTGATTTAAATAGCACTATGGATATTATATAATAGCATCAAAATACCACATTATATAAAACTGGTTGGTGGTTTCAATGCCTCTGAAAAATATTGGTCAGTTGGGATTATTATCCCATATATTATGGAAAGTCATAAAATTCATGTTCCAAACCACCAATCAGTTGTAATGTCCATTGCTAGGGACCAAAAAGTTTTAAAATAAACAACATCCGCGCCCAACTGCGCCTCAGGACTCCATGGCTCAACTGTGCTGGCCACATGTTCGATGGACTCTAGGAGAACCTCCTTGGAAACCGCCTGGTCAGCCCCATTTTTCATGGCTGAAAAAGGCGGGTCTTGTAAACTGGTTGAATCATGAAAAATATAGGAATACTTAAGCAACAGAAATGGGAACTCATGAAGATTTACCATCGAAAACAGGAATCCAACAAGGAATATTGGAGGACAACAATCTGTGGATGGATCTGCTGAAATGAGTGGCACACCCCATTTTATGGCCATTAAAAACATTAGGACAATGATGCCACATCAGTTGGGATTTCAGATTTTTTCAAGACAACTAAAATTGCGATGCTGATCACCAACAAAACATGGAAACATTTAGTTACCATGATGTTCCCATCAAAACAAAGATTTTATGACGGACAGTTCGAGGTGTTGTTGTTAAAACCCACAGTTTTTTCATCATGGCAGATCTGCTGGAACCTGAGGAGATCCCCAAACAACCCAGCCGTTTCACGGCGGTGGTCAAAATCATGTTCTCAATATATGGCCAGTTTGCAGAGAGATCATGAAAAGAAAGTCGGTGAGTCTTCCCATGGATCTGATGTGAGAATTCACCAAAAACAAAATCGTGGGGAAGTCGATCTTTATTTTTGGGGCCCAGGAACCCACAGATGAACTACACAACAGGTTCAACAGGCCATTCTTATGTCTGGTGAGCTTGTTCTGTCGCAAAAAATATCCAAAGCTTATTATCTGTCAAAATACAGGGTCTTTATATAAAAGTATCACCAACAAGAACCCCTGACTTTTACAAAATCGCGGAGTGTTTACCCTGCCTGGCCGTTGGTTGATTCCTGGGTCAGCGATGTCACTGGGATGCCGTAACCATATCCTGATATATCCTGATATCATAGATAATAGTGTATTGTGGTATAGATATATATATATATACATATTTTGTATATGGTAATATTTGATATATTTTTAAATACTACATATATATATATATATGTACATTTTAGAATATGTGTGACTACATGACATGTATGCGTAAACTTGGTTCAACTCATCCATTCTTTCTACTTGGCCTTGGATCATCATCGTCCTTCCAGCCTTTACTATCGTTCACTCGACTCTAACGTCTGGTAATTTAACCTTTTTGTGGAAAATTTGTCGATTTATATATATATATATAGATAATTGACCTACTAAAAAAATGTAAATTGTCCATGGCTATGTTAAATTACCAGAGGGTACATCGCTTGGTTTGTGAATACGCATCCACAATAAGCAGGTATTCATTTACTGAACATCTTTACATGTTGTACAACACCTCGCCGGAAACCTATTCCCACGACCAAAACATATATCACTCACCATTTTCCGAAAATCCAAGTCAAATAATGTGTACATTCACTTAAAAAAACGATTAAATCCCAAAACCATGCCCCAAATGTTTTCAGGGTTTCAAGGCGCAAAAACCAACCAAAATGGTACGTGGTCAAAGGGACGAAGTACCAATCTAATAAATCTACACAACCCCCCCCAAAAAAAAAAAAACATCCCAAAGCACCTTACCAATCACAGTTTTCCTTCTGTTTAATTTCCACGTATTAATCGCAAAAATCCACGCCCATCCCCAACCACCCCGAAATATCCCAAAATGACATTGTTCCTTCCGTCCAAATGGTTGGGACTAAATTTGACAAACACACTTCATCCCTTCCCAATGATATGCATGCATGTTTGTTGAATTCCAAAAGGGACCCATTTTTGCGGGACTTTGCTGGCTCACAAGAAACCCTGGTTTTTTCCGTTTGTGCCCGGTGGCTGGAAACCAGATCTTTCCTCCCCCCACGGCCACCGGCGGTTTAGGCGGCGGCGGCGGGGGCGGCGCTGTGCTGCGGGAAGCGCTTGAGCCCCCAGACGTGGTGTCTGGAGAGCGGCTGCCTGAGACTCTTTGACCGTGTTTGGGGAGATGTTACCAAAAATGCTCGTTTTACCGGTAATTACTTTAGTTCGAGTGACCCCCATCCTGACAACTTATTTGTCATAGTTTCTGACATATCATTCTGGAAATATATACGGTATAATCTTCTGACATTCTATTTTGGCAATCTATCTGGCATTCTATTTGACATTCTATTCTGGCATTCTACCTGGCATTCTATCTGACATTCTATTCTGGCATTCTATCTGGTATCTATTCTGACATCCTGTCTGGCATCCTTTGTGGCATCTATACTGTCATTTTCTCTGGCGTTCTATTCGGCATTTCTTCTGCCATATATGTGCTGGAATACGGTCTGGCATGCTATCTGGCATTCTATCTGACATTCTATTCTGGCATTCTATCTGGCATATCTTCTGACATCCTTTCTGGCATTCTATCTGGTAAATCTTCGGTGATTCTTTGTGATTGAGGTCCGGGGGGAACACTCTGATTTGGTGCTCGCGGTGGAGACACAGCGGGGAACACTCTGATACCGAGCTTGCTGTTCAGGTCCGGCAGGGAACACTTTGATCTGGAGCTTGCGGTGGAGGTCCGGCGGGGAATGCTCTGATCCTGAGCTTGCTGTTCGGGTCCGGCGGGGAACACTTTGATCTAGAGCTTGCAGTTGAGGTGCGGCGGAGGAAAGAGGAGGAGGAAGAGGAGGAGGAGGAGGAGGCGGGCCAGCTGACATAAAATCTAATAACCCTCACGTGACAGGTGGGGAAAAATTGTGATTAGTTAGGAAATTGTGTGATTAATTAATTGGTTGTTCACTACGTTTTACCCAGAAAAGAATAGCATGCGGTTTGAACCTGCAAACCAAAAAATGGTGAGTGGGTATGGGTCTTGTTTTCCTCCATTTGTGGCAAAAGAATGCACCATGGCGACATTTATGGCAACCCGGTTGGTTAAGCCAGATATATCAACCCCAGGCCAGCGCACCTGGGAACATGCCACTGAGAAATGATGGCAGTTTTGTCATCTTCCTCAGATCGAAGAAATGAATGGAATGAGTCGCCCAAAACTCATCTGGATAATCCCTTAAATGGAGTGAGTTTAAACCACCAAGCAGACTAGTTCTAGATGCTCAGATGAGTTTTGGCATCCACAATTTGCAGGGAAAGAAACATCACAAAGAACATAACAGTTACCCTCTGGTAATTTAACATAGCTATGGAAAATCACCATTTTTAATGGGAAAACCATCTATAAATGGGTCATTTTCAATAGCTATGTTAAATAACCAGATGGTAACACAATATAACCTTGCTCGGAATCGCCAAGTCACCACCACTTTCTGAACAAAATGACTGATGAAAAAAGGGGGTCCCCCATGACTGGTTGCCGTCCCAGTTTGGCTTGGTCCATTGTTGATGGAATCCCAAGTTTTCCTGCGTAAATCGAATCTTTTACCACTGACCAAAGAAACCACGTGTTTTTTTTCCAAGCTGCCCAGGTAAAAGAATGACCAGCTAAGCTGTGGCTGGCCACAAGTGACCAGCCAAAATCGGATAACTCCTCAAAAACACGTATTCAAAATGAAAAAGTCTAGTTACTTGTTCGATGGTTATACTTTCTTACAGTCAGCCGCCACAAACATTTGTTTTGTGAATGTAGAAATCCGAAAATGCGAGTTTTCTGATCTCACTTGAAAGAGTGCACTTATAAAGATCCAGGGAAACGCAAGATATGCTGTTTCACCCTTTTTCTTTGCAGCCCGAGCTAGATCTATTTGAGCTTCTGCCTGGTGTTGCGACTGCTGGCCCCGGGAGGCCATCAGGAGTCGTCCCCAAACAGGTTTTTTGGGCAGCGAAAAAGCATCAGCGGCAACCTCCTAACCATAGGTGAGTCAGTTGCATCTCCCTACTTGCGATGTTTATTCATCATAGCGTTCAATCCAACTTTCATCCTTAAAATTATTCATTCATTTAGATCATTTAGGCTTAGATCACCATAAATTTCACAAATCACCCTGAATTTGCACCTTTTTTCTCACCTAAGACTTGGGGTGAATCTCTCATTTTTTTGTCGCAGCTGAAATCCCCATCGTTTCGAATAGGCCCAGCATCCTGACCCAGACCCCGAGGCGGACTTCGCAGGAACCGTCGGGGCGGGCCGTGCCCAGCTGCTTTTGAAATGGGCTGCGGAGAGGTTGGCTGGATCTTTGGACATATGAGAAACCACAAGATCCATTGATATGATATGATGCGATATAATATGATATGATATGTATGTATATATATATATCATGATATGTATATATATATATACATAATGATTGTTTATACATATACTAAATTTATATATCATGATATCATATGTCACCATTATGTAGTGTGGTCAACACGGACAATAAATCATCCGCAATAGAGGTTTATTATTGGGTATCTCCCTATTTGGTATGATGTAAAATGACCCCCAAACGGTTCGAAAAAAAAAAATATTTTACTTCGTGTGATCCCCACCGTGACATTTTTACATTTTCTTACTGGCAAATCTTCTGGCATTCTATCTGACATATCTTCTGGCATTCTATCTGGCAAATCTTCTGGCATTCTATCTGGCATATCTTCTGGCATTCTATCTGACATATCTTCTGGCATTCTATCTGGCATATCTTCTGGCATATATTCTGACATATCTTCTGGCATTCTATCTGGCATATCTTCTGGTATATCTTCTGGCATATCTTCTGGCATATCTTCTGGCATTCTATCTGGCATATCTTTTGGCATATCTTCTGGCATATTATCTGGCAAATCTTCTGGGTATCTTCTGGCATATGTTCTGGCATATCTTCTGGCATTCTATCTGGCATATCTTCTGGCATATTATCTGGCAAATCTTCTGGGATTCTATCTGGCATATCTTGTGTCATTCTATCTGACATTTTATCTGGCATACCTTCTGGCATTCTATCTGGCATATCTCATAGCATTTTATCTGGCATATCTTCTGGCATTCTATCTAACATTCCATCTGGCATATCTTCTGGCTTTCTATCTGGCATATCTCATGAGGTCCGGCAGGGAACACTTGGCGTGGATACTCGCGGTTGAGGTCCGGCAGGGAACACTGGGCGTGGATGGTCGTGGTTGAGGTCCGGCAGGGAACACTGGGCGGGGATGGTCGTGGTTGAGGTCCGGCAGGGAACACTGGGCGTGGATGGTCGTGGTTGAGGTCCGGAAGGGAACACTGAGCATGGATGGTCGTGGTTGAGGTCCGACAGAGAACACTGTGCGTCGAGGGTCGCAGTTGAGCAGGAGGACGAGGATGACGAGGAGGACGAGGAGGACGAGGAGGACGAGGAGGACGAGGAGGAGGAGGAGAGGAGGAGGAGAAGGAGGAGAAGGAGGAGGAGGAGGAGGCAACTGACATAAAATCTAACAACCCTCACCTGGCAGGTGGGGAAAAAACGGCAACTCCTGTCGACAAACCATCAGGGACACCTGATGCATTTCACAAAATAATGTTGTGCTATTCACGAACATCCCAAAATGATTGTTCACAAGAAGTGATCATATCTCCTTAGGCATGTGCATATAGATACATTATATGATACATTGTTATCCCCAAAAAAAGAAGAAATCCAGCCAGAAGATTCTGGGTGCTTCTTGTGGGGACCGCTTCTTTTGGGGACCTCAATCGACCCCCCAGTGGCAAACCAACATGGCAATGTAAACTCCCAATCTTCTTCAGATTCTGCAAATGGGAGGTTTTTTCTTATGAATCATCTGCAAATGTATTTGAAAATTGGTGGTGTTCGATTGCCACAGGAGGGTCATTCACATTCGCCAACATAAGAATCTGACGCTGAAACACATGATTCCTGACTGGTCATTTATGATCCCACAATGGCACTGGGCGCACCGAACCATGCGAAGACAATGTAGATGTTCCTGAGTGGTTCTGTTGTTCACACTTGGGCTGGATCCATGTTGCTATGGAATCAACAACAAAATACCCTCTGTGGCTGGGAAATCCCTCATGAACCGGGAATTTTATACCCTCTCTTGCACGATCAGGAAAATTATCCCCTTAAGTCCCCCTTTTTTCCGGGATCCAAGTGGAATGTCAGTGAGGAGTATTTCGATTGGTGGGGATCGTAGACAACCCATTCTCCGGCCAAAAAAACCAAACATGGCAATTGCAAATCCCTCCCGATGTGTAGATGATTATTCTATTGAAACCTCCCATTTGTGTCGTTCAAGCTATCCATTTTGGGGTAGTAATCCTGACTTCACCCATCCCCATATGACAATCATTGTTGGTAATCTTTCGAGCGCTTATTGGTTGTGATTGCTATCTATGAACATGCTACATATATATATACATATATATATATAATATTATATATATATGCATATATATATATATATATGACTATACATATATATATATAAATAAATAAAATGTATACAGTGTACAGTTTATACTCATCTCTGCATCTCTATATATATATAATACATATGATGCATCCGCATGTTTATTCCGTTGAGTAGTTTGCAAGGGGCTTTTTCTACATGTCACCATCGCCCAAGCATCGTCACCAGCAATGGTCGTGCGACCTCATCGGTGGAGCGATTTAAGGCACAGCAGCCGGCCAGGACCAACCTCGATCGGATGCTGCGGATGATTTTTGAATGGTAGATCCATGGTGATTGGCGGTTCAGCCGACACAACAAATGGGGATTTCATGGGGATTTCATGGGGATGAGGATTTTTACCACCAAAACATGCGATATCAACAAAACATGTGGATATGGTGGGTGCATAGTCCGGGTTTTAGCATACCCTGTGCATCTCACTGAGCAAAACAAATACATGCATGGGGCCTCAAATAAATAGCCTATGTCCAAGTGGCCTTCATTCCACAACCAGGTTCCATCCCCATCAGCATCCCAGTTTGATGGTTGACAACCCTGTTTCTAATCATGGAGGACAGCAAATTCCATCAGAACATGCGGTCTCCGGATGTCTCTGGGAGGTACAACCCTTGCGAATCATATCCCTTTCCATGAGAGGACAAAATTGGAATTAGAAGGCAGCCTACTGCACCACAAACAAACAGGACGGGGACATTCTACAAATGTGGGATCATATGCGCTGTGATGAACTGCGGTCAGTGGGGGTGTTCAAGTCGCTGGGTCCTAAAGTTGATCAAAACACAATGTTGATCTATGCTGATCTTAACTAGCCTGCAATTGTTCAAAAGAAAGAACTCATGTTCAGTGCCATGTTTAGTGCCATATGTGGCCTTAAAACTTAAAATATCTTAAAATGCCATCATTTGAACTTAGCCCCCAAACTCATTGAAATCAACACATCAGCCGCACGGAAGACATCCCCTGAAGGCGTCTTCCATCCCAGACACAAAATTGGCACATTGATGAGCCATTCCTCGGTGAAGCCATGAATGATGAATTGGCGATCGAAATGGCTTCGAAATCGATTTTTTATAGAAATACCATGGATGTTATCTATAGATACATATGTACTATGTATATATATATACACTATATATATACTATATATATATATATATTGGAATACTTTGGACTATATGAAGTTATTCCATATCAATGTTGGTGGCTTTTTTATTGGCTATAGCATTTCTAGCCAGCTTGCAGCTGAATTTAGCCAATCGATGTCTTCACCTACCACCTTGGCGCATGGTTGACGTATATCCATACTGTGGATGGTTCGGGAATCCTAAAAACCAGTTGGTACCCTCTGGTAAACGTTTACATAACTATGGAAAATCACCATTAGGTAAATCCACTATTTCTATGGTCATTTTCAATAGCAAACTGTTAGTCATTACCAGAGGGTAACTATTGGTAACCATGAACTGTTTTTTCAATGGGATTGCAATGGGATAAAACCGTCTACTAACTGGTTTTTAGGATTTCTGAGCCATCCATAGTATGTCCTCAATTCTCAGGGGTTTGGAACCCTCTGCTGATGTTTCCGGAACCCTTCGGCTGCTGCCCAGATGCAACATAGATGGCGGTGTAGACAGGCAGCCCAGCTGACACGGAGTCGCGTTTGATGTGAAAGGACAAGACAAAAACTGGGGAAATTCAAATTGTTGTAAGTAAAAATTTCAATAGTTGTCATTGTCTAAAACATTCTAAGTAATTTACTACAGCTACAATTTGTGGATGTGAAATATTGACTATGTTTACTGTAATTCATATTTTGATGGAAAAGTCCCATTACGAAAAGAAAGTGCACGTTCGGAGGCAATGAGTAAACGTTAAATACTTCTATCAAATAGTGTCGCTTACATCCCTTGCATTACACTTGTTATATGTATATATGTATCTGTAAAACTATATGGCACGGACATGTTTTTGCACTCGGTGGTCGTGCGACCAAACATCCCTACCATCAGAAAAGGTCACCAGGTGAAGCTCCGATTCTTACTCGCCACAGAAGCACAACCGCAGTAGAAAATAACAAGCAGCAACAAATCTCAACAGACATCAACAGACATTTAAAAAAAAAAAACTTAATTTGAGCACATATGTATTATGTATCTATATATATACATATACTTTACACACTATATATGTATAAGTCACCTGAATGTAATCCACTAGTTCACCGCAAACTTTTCAAGTATGACTGAGTCAATAAGGGCATCACCGGCCAATCTCCCGTTGGTGTCGACCTGCACTGGCATTGGCGAACCAGGGCGTTGAGCTGAAGAAGAAAATGAGGTTCTCCAAGATGAGCACCTGTGACAGCAAAAATTGGGCTTAGGCTACGTCTATATAGTTTCCTGTGCATTTTTCCTGATGAAATGTACACTTATATCATTGTATATATATATATATACACCGTATATATATACTGTATATATATAATGCTTTTGTTTTGTTGACTTTGGGTATGTATCAAGTCGTTGCATTTCAGCATGTATCATCGTATTTTTTGGGGCCCATAATGGTCATCCTGTTTTTTGTCCCAGTGGAAAGACGGTCAGCCTCTGGGTCTCTGGGTATCTGGTCCTCCATGGTTACCATGGTGAAAATCCCCCACTGTTCACTGATGTTCCTATTCAAAGCTCCATACTTTTTTTGGATTTCTCCATCTTTTCCCATGGCGGCGGCGATGTCCCAGCCAGATCCAAGGCACAAAGAGTGTGACGCAAAGGAGAACCGGTGGCATGAAGGTGTTGTCCAAACCATTTACCAGACCCAACCTGCAACGGTCAAAGCGTCAACCGGTCAACCCTGCAGGTGCCAGCTTGAAATGTGGACATCTGATGACATCTGATGAATTTGATGTGCCTTGAAGATCATTTTAGATACTTAAATCATCTGAAAAATCTCAAGTTCTATACATTCTCCATGTGATGTGGATCTGAAGATGTGCTGTTTCACACGGTGAAACACGGATGGGTTTTCCGAACTCCGCCCAGTCTCCCCAGGGCACACTGGCCGAGCGCTTTCATAGCCTCAGATGTGAAAACAGGCAGTCTAGTAGCAGTCCAGTCGTCTGTTTCACATTCCAAAGGGTCGTTGAAATCCTAGAGATCCTGATTTCTTTCTACAAATGGGACGGAACTCCCGATTTTTTCGATGTCCCATGAAGGGACCCCTGACTTCACATTCAAACACAGTCAAACACAACTCTGAAACTTCTGGTAGTGGCCTTTTAACTGGGTGAAACTGCGCATACCATCAGGACACGTGACACGTGTGTTGAGAGTCCCAGAAGCTCACCGGGTCTTTCACGATATCTTGAACCGAAACCTTAAAATTCAGAAACCAATACCAGGGTATAGCAACCACCAAAAGATATTACGAAACTATTATGGTAAATTAATTGTTGTTTGTTGCTCTATCTTTTTGGTCCTTATTATATGTCATTACTATGTGTCGAATTTTGCAGCAAAACGTTGTGTAATCTCAGCCATGGCTAAGTCATACTCTGAATCGAGCCGGTCAAGTCTGTTGACGTCTAAATGGCAAAAAAACAGTTTGTATATGTACTCAATAATTTATATATTCCACATATCCACATATGCCGGTATGTACATATGGTTACATATGTATATATATATATACATACAGTAGAGAGAGAGAGATATGTATATATATATTATACTATATATTATATATACATATTATATATATTATATATATATGTATATTGGATGAACTTTCAATGTACATACTGATTACACGTACCGTCAAGGCAAAACATGCGGCCAACAAAAAAAAAACAGTATTGGATTTTTCCAAAAATTTGCAGGGTTTCATCTCGTCAATTTAGGGTCAAAGCCATGGTTTGCGGTGAAGAAATTCCCTTAAAACAATTCTTTGAATCTTAGAATCCAGTTGTGAAATGTTCTTAAGTGTACTTATTATCCTCTGGCAAATTAACATAGACCCTGAAAATAGCCATTGTTCAGTTGAAACTAATCTTCCAACCCCTATCTGCCAGGGTCTATGTTAGTTTATCAGAGGGTAAGTGTACTTATTAAGTGTACTTACTCTTCTACCAAAACCAGGGATGTAACCAGAGATGAACCGCCTAGAACCCCGCCATCCGGCGCGCGGTCCGCGCCCAGTGGAGGTCGTGGAGCTAAAGTGAAGACTCACCAACTCCAAGACAAAGGCCGTAGATAGCCCCACGATGGCATAACCTTTTTTGGCGACCAATGGACCCATATGGACCCGGTTCAAAGAATGTTTGACTTTGAAATGGCAAAAAAGATCCAAAAAGATCCAGGGTTTCGGTCACATTTTTTCCCTTTCCCTTCGGCAGCTCCATGTGAGGAGATCGATTTGTGACTTTGAAAGTGCATTCTTTGTTTGGGAGTACATAATGTTATGTATAGTTACATCAATCAGGACAGTAGTCACATATAGTTGCATATAGTTACGATATTATAGTAATTATAGTTGCATAGGATAATGTTCCAGTATTATAGTTACTATATAGTTATGGTATTAGTAGTTGCTATAGGATATATCAATTACATATATATATACCGTATATTATTTACATATATTATTAGTACATATATCATTAGCATCCTATAATTTACCATATAGATTTCTATAGTCCTATAGTCTAATTTTCGGATCAACATCCGCATCGGGGACCCGTTCGACGTTGGGAAAGTGGCGATGAGTTTTCTAGATTCATAAGATGTAACGTGTAGGTCACGCATAGATGTGTGTATGTATACATATATATAAATACATCTTTACGTTGTATTGTAGTCATATCAGTATATGTAAATACATATCATACTTGTGTATATATATGTATATAATTATATAAATATGTATGTGTATATATATACATACATCATACATTGTGTTACATATGTATATTTATATTTATTTATATATATCATATTTATCATATATTGAGTGAGTATCTGTGTGTGCGTCATGTACATTTTTTTGTCATCCCTTTTTGTGCCACTGATTTTTTAATCGCCTTCTCGGATCAAGATCTTGGTTCCTGAAGTTTCACACCTTCACACCTTGGTTCCTGAAAAATTGGTGAGTAATATTGGTGAGCTATCTTGGATGTGATAATCAATGATAATCATATTGGACAATGAAAAATGGTGAGTTATCTTATGATCAACTTTTTTCAAGATTATCCAAATTTATCCAATGATCTCATGAATTCTCATGAATTCTCATGAATTCTCATGATGTTTGATTCATCACCACCAGTATTTCATGGCGATGCCGCGCGACCATTCAGCTGAGTCTTGACGCTCTCCGCTTCGAAGGCCACCACGCAACTCTGTACCTTGTGGCATCCTGGCGGAAAATCGGGTTCACCAGAAATGTGGGATTGAAGAAATTGAACCATCAGAAATGTGGATTTCACCAGAAATCAATGGTGATTTAATGGATTTTTATTGTTTGATCAACAAAAAAAATGAGATTTAAGCAACTGTGCCGGCGGGATATCTTGTTCAAATCGACCCTCACCTGGCAGGTGGGGATCTTCCGGTATTCACCATATTCAGGTTGGTCGGAAAATAGGGAACGCCAAACCCAATGGTTTATCATCGTCCCTACTTTTTTGGATATCCCCAATTTTGGACAACCCCGTTCGGGATCACCAAAACCACCAACCCAACTGCAAAGATCTGCCCGAAAAAAAACTGTTCAACTTCACCAAACACTTGCCCACAACATTTCGCCAATCTTAGAGAAAGTCTAGCTGCGTAGCAGATATGCCATCTGGTTGGTGGTTTTAAGCATCTTGAAAAATATGAGTTCGTCAATGGGTTTCGGATGACATCCCATATATTACTTATGGAAGATAATCCAGTCATGTTTGAAACCACCAACCAGCCATGATATGCCATGATATGGCCATCTATGGCATTCTGAAGCCACAGGTTACAGTATTTTTCGGCATCCATCCAGATTTTTCTGCACTCGGATTGCTCCTCGAATCGAACCAAAACACAGCACCTTGGGGTCACAGCTGCGGATGATGCTTCTGATAGCGATTTCATTGGGGCCATGCTATTTATCTGGAGAAATTTCATCAGATTAATGGTTAATAATCCCATTAACATCCATTCATATCCACATGGCTTGTTGTAAACATATCGATTTTCAAACATGTTTGCTTGGCGCAAGGAAAAATCTCTGGAGTGCTGCCTTGGCTGTGGGACAAAAACCAGTCTTCGTCAGAACTTAAGGCCTGCCATTTGAAACCACAGATCTGGGTAATTAACTTATAATATTTCACTAAGCTGAATTAAGGCCATTTGGGCATGATTTCACTTATTAAGCATGATTCCAGTGAGGGGTCAGTTGTTATAATTTACCTAGACAGATACTGTGCCCTCCGGCAATTAAAGATAGTTATGGAAAATGGCCCATTTGTGGATACTATACCATATCTAACCTAACCTCTTAAGAATGGTAGTTTCCATAGCTAGGGTAACCAAGCGATCTTGTGGCTTATATCAATGGATTGCTTTAGGGGGGGAATCTTAACCGGAAACCATGGTTAGAACCCAAGAAATATGTCGAGGGTTCCTGCAAATCTTCCCTTTGGCCAATTCTAGGTTATAAGATCTACAGCCAGCAATTATAGGTTCTATAATACGTAGTAAACCATCCTAGTTTTCAGCCCCAATTCTGTTGACCCCTTTTTGGTGGTTCATAGAATCAATATTTTCCAATATTGAATATCATAATCACCATTAAACCAGCTGTCAGCCAGTGTCCCCAAAGAAATAACCATGAAGCACCAGTGCCCAGGTCACGATCATGAAGATCATGATCATCACCGTGGCCCCTGTGATCAGGGCCCATCGTAGCGCATCCTTTCCTGCCAGATGGTGATGCGGTCGAGCATTTCTCCTAAATTTACAGTTGAAAGAGTGTGAGAAGTAGGCTGCTTAGCCCACTTGTAGCTAGGTTTTAAACATCGTTGAACCAATTTTCGAAGCATGTTGATATAACATGATATAACTCCAATCATAGAATATTGTGGCCATATACCCACACAAACGGCGTTGCGTTTGCCACTTCCGTGTCCTTTTGGCATCGCCTGATGCACCAGAGTGCCGTTCGACATGCCGCTCATGACGCGGCTACGGTCGTACCCGGCACGGCAGCGAAACGGGCCCCCCGTCTGTGGCAAAACGACAAAAAACAAAGTAAAAAAACAGATCAGATGAGATCAAAATTGATGAAAAAGTCGGATGTTGCAGTTCCAAAATGGTCAAATAGTCAAATCCTGATCTTTCATCAAACTCAATCCACAGATAACCATGGCGCACTTGAGAAAGTTCTGCGGACAAGTCACGGCAAGTTCTGAAAAACACGTTACCTTACCCCAGTGGAAGTGATGTTACGTAGGGATGTGTGTTTCACTTGGTATATGATTAGTGACCATGGCGATAAGCCATTATACACCTAGATGCTTACTCGTATGGGATAATCCAATTGAACCCAGTTATTGTGTATATATATATATAATTTAATACATATGTTACCCTCCCATTTTGGCAAATATTGGTGGTGGGGTAAACAATTTATATCATGTTATATCTATGCAATGAGATACAGCCCTAAAAATGTTTTACATAACATTCTGCCCCATGAGCAAACCCATCAAACTGGGACCTCATTTCCATGGACTCACCAGTGAGCGCATGATCCAGCCATGATCCAGGCGTTTTGCCATAAGATACCTGGGAAATGTGAAATCAGTGGATACCCCGTGGTTCACAACCGTTTGTGTGTGTAAGTACACATACTCAGTGCTACGTGTATCATCTGTTTTAAATGGGAACAACTATGATATAGCATGGGATGTTGAGACAGTTACATGCTACTTAGTCATACTTAGTCCATTTTCTACGAGATACTAAACTCCAGCTGGTGTCTTTTGCTGGAGAATTGGAGAATAAGTGTACGTCAAGTCTCGACAGCAATTTTCCAGCATTCATCTAAAATAGCACCCACAAAGTCACAAGCCATGGTGTACAGGTGACAGGTGCTGACTTCCCAAAATGTTCTTTCTGAATTCTCGCATCGCGAAAAATAACACCTATCCCAGCATCCCATTAATCCTATGATGCTGATTAGTTGATAGGTCTCCCGTTAATGCTGGCTTAGGTCACGAAAATTCATCCCCGAGCCACACAGGTGATGTAACAGTCCTGCCCTGCAGCCTTTTCTTGGTGAATACACTGAGATGTACACTATAAGATATAGCATCATCTGAATATATCTGAATCATCTACATATCTTTCTTGTGATATCTATGGGAATCTTCAAAGAAGTAGACCATAAAAAGTTGGAAACTTAGACGTTATGCGGCAAACATCATCTATAACATTCTGGTTTTCCACTGTTCTACGCAGGGCATGTCCGAGTTTTTCACATGCTCCGAGGGAACCGTGCTCCCCGACACCAGACCAGGACCATGTCCGCGGCCAAAGACCTCTTGAAGCACCTGCTTTCTCTGATTCATGGCACGATCTTGCTGATGTCCATGTGTATACATGTGAATATATATATATATACATTATACATACACAGCACAATCATACACATGCATATATACATACCTACTGTAAGTCCTGTGTTTTGAAACAAAATCATTGTCACATCGAAGCCGAAGACAATCTACTGTGCTGGTCAGCACGGAGTTCCCTTGTGATGAAAATGGCCATGATTTCTGGTGAGATGTCACACATTTCTCTGAAACATCTGGGAGCCTGTGGGTTAAGCCAATAATGTGCAGCTACATTGATCATCATTTATCCAATCCCCCTAATGTCAAACACCCCCCCGAAACCATAGTTTAGTAGGGAATTTCAACATAATTGGGATGATTTAGGGGGTCTTTCATATGAGGGGGATGGGCTTCCGCAACAGATGTCCCTTCTCCATCTGAACAGCTGAGCCGAGCCCAAAGCCTGGAGTAAAGTGCCATGTGCAGCCACGCAATGCAACGACACAGGCCTGGAGCGAAACATGGAGATTTTCCAAAACAATGGGAAAGTCAATCACCATCAAAATCGCAGGGACGGAATATTTTTTTTTGGTGGGGGGGGTGGAAGGGGGGAACTCGGATAGATATGGATAGATAGGGAGATGGTTTGCTGAAAAACAGCTAGGTCCAACCATCAACAGCAAAGATCTGCTCCAGCTTCTAGATAGCACCAGGTGGAGCATACAAGGAATGACAATGGATACGGAGCTGTCTGAAAATGGGGACGCCCATAAATTGTCATTTATATGGGAAGAATGATGGTACACCAATGGATTTAGGGGTACATTGTTTTCAGACAAAATCAATCAAAATCATATGTTGCTAGCAAGACAGGATGTATAGCTGGATGCCCAACAACATGAGAATGTCACCAAGTAGTTAAGCAACACATGAAATGCTGCACATCAATCGTAAAAGGCCGTTGCCATGCTGGTTTTCTGGAGGGACTACGCACTTCATTCACGATTTTGGTGCATCCTATAAATGCTTGACGGAGAAAAAACATGGAAAAAAACATGCAGGAAACCTATTTGGATGGTAAAACCATATTTTTTCTACAGATCTTCCTCAAAACGAATCCATTGAGTGAGTAACACGCCTGAACGCCATGCTCTACAGTTTCTAGCAAGGCAACCACCTCGGACTCAACAAAATCTGGCTTTCCTAGACATCCAAACAAAAAGAAACGAATAGATCATGCTGGAACGTTCACCCAATTTTGGCATGTCGAAGTGTGAACAATAATAATATCGGTTTGTCTGAAAAGAGGGTACCCTATATTTATCATCGTATTTTTTTTTGCGTATACGGCGTACGGTATACCGGTATACCACCCATTTTCAGATACGGTCGTTCTGTTTGAATTTGGAGCAGCGTCAGGATGGTAGAGCCGCCAACCAGAGACCCGTTCCTTTCAATTTTTCACAGCTGTGCAGCCCAGATTCCCCTGCAACATTGTTCGGAACCCTCCTGCCTTGATTTTTTCAGAAACCGCCAAACATCATCCATGTCAAACTCTTGTCTTCATCAAGAAACCTCAAGTTCTATTTCTGTTGAAGTTTGGAATGCATCAAACCTGAGCCAAGTGCCCCAGCTGGACCCCGTGCCTCTGATATTCCAGAGCCAAGTCAAGCTGCGGTCGAAGCACCTGAAGGTATCTCAAGTTTCCTGTTGGTTGATGCTTTGGGGTTTGCCTAAGACTATACCCCAGAGAATTCGATTCTTAAAGTTAGAACAGTGTGTTTTTAGGGGTACACTGACACCATGTATTTGGACAAACACACATATATATATATGTATATGTATATATGTAGGTTGTCTCCAAATTTGGGCACTCAAAATGTCCAGGGGTGTAGAAAATCATGTTCCGGATGATTCCGTGGCCACAAGACGGGGTATCTCCATTTTTAGGGGCAAACACATGAAATCTGTACTTCAACAAACACTAATCTGGGATCTGAAAATTGCTTAAACTTGCTGTATTTTGGAAGAATTTGGGGGATCACGAAAGAAAATGTGGATTTGACCATCCAAGAAATGAGGTGATTTCAAGCAATGCGGTTGTGAAGAATTTCAACGGGAAGAAGAGACAATAGTGGGTAGATTGGTCAGAGCTGAAGGGAGATAACGATCAAAAATTAAGTGTTACCTACCGATGCACTTTTAACCAGCAAGAAAAGGGAATCTAACCCATAGGTTGAATACTAAGTTACTACCAAGAAATTTAAGTTACATGAGGTAACTACGAGTTACGGGGATTTGATATAGGCGCAGGCACCACTGTAACTAGAAACAGGGGGCACTGTGGGGTACTTTATTAGGCAATACGTGGGTTGGTGATTATTGGGAAAATGATACAACCATCAACAATCGCACAATTTTGAAGCCCAGAAAAATCCACGCCGGTTTGCTGTTGCTAAATGAACCATCGACCTATGGTGAATTAACTCCTCTCAAATCAGAGGGATCCAGGTTTCATCGTGAAAGTGGTTTCATTATATATATATCATATTTATATATATATATATTATTTATATATATAAAGATTCATTGGTTTCGCTCTTTTTTGACACGGCAAGACCTGCTTTGTTATAAAAAACACAAAAGGGGAGTAGCAAACTCCATTGGCCTGAAAATTAAAGTTTAAACTTTGCAGCACTCCCACACTCTCAGCCTATCTCTCTCTCTTGAGAGTATGGCTTTACATTCCCCCCATTTTTCCTCGCCAGACCGAGGGAAAAATGAGCCAAAGAATGTTAGGTAGTACTGGGCCCTGCCAGACCAGGGGACAGCCAGTCCGCCTACCTTTTTTCTCTTTTCATTGATTTCGCTGCTTTAGAGCTTTTCGAGCTCTTACTCCCTTTTTGATCTTGCTGGGAGGGAGGCTGCGGGGCTGAAGCCGAAACTTTACAGAAAAAGAGGTGTCCACCAATTCATCTTTACTTCCGAGGACGTTCATTCAAAGATTCATTGGTTTCGCTCTTTTTTGACACGGCAAGACCTGCTTTGTTATAAAAAACACAAAAGGGGAGTAGCAAACTCCATTGGCCTGAAAATTAAAGTTTAAACTTTGCAGCACTCCCACACTCTCAGCCTATCTCTCTCTCTTGAGAGTATGGCTTTACATTCCCCCCATTTTTCCTCGCCAGACCGAGGGAAAAATGAGCCAAAGAATGTTAGGTAGTACTGGGCCCTGCCAGACCAGGGGACAGCCAGTCCGCCTACCTTTTTTCTCTTTTCATTGATTTCGCTGCTTTAGAGCTTTTCGAGCTCTTACTCCCAGTTCCCCCTGCCCTGCCACGAGTGGCAAGCTCAAGTTTTGGCAAGGGAGAAGACATGGAGTGAAGAAATTGTTTGTGAAACACGCGCGCATGAGGAGTGAGCCTTAGCTCAGTTTCGGCAAGAGTGGCTAAGCCACTGTTGATATATAACCGGGCAGTTTTAGAAGATTGCCATCTACCCTGGATCAACAAACGGTCCAACTGCCCGTGGCGTTGAAAATAAAATGTCGCACCTCCCCTCCGTAGGCTATACGGCCTATATTGATACTCGGAGAGTCCTAAAGAGGAGATGGTGTCATTAAACATTTTCCGCCATCGATGGGGCGCTGGACATAAGGCAGTGCCAGGATTGGTGGCTTGTTGCCATTGCCAAAGTCTTCGTAGAGTTTCTTCCTCAGAAATGGTGACGCTCTCGGCGGCACCAGCCCGTCGTCCTCCTTTGGTCAATCCCAAGGAAATGATGGCTACGGAGGTAGGGCCGGCCTGAGAAATATCCTTGTTATGCAACCCTAACAATTCTCCAGTTCTTAGGAGTCCATAAAATGCGAGTAGGAGGGATAAGGCGAAAACAGGTTGGCAGGCAAAGAGAGAATGGCCAACAAGCGTCTGCAAAGCAACCTCTGTTAATGGAGGAGCTCTGCATGGTATTTCATTGGCTACCCAAGTTTTGAGCAACCGCCAACTATTGGCGAGGTGCCCTTTGATATGGGGATCCTTGTCTTGTAGGCCTGCCAACGTGTCTGACGCCAAACTGCGTCCCTCCCCTTGACTCCATAAAAACTCTAAATAGTCCGAAACAATTGGATCAAGGAAAATTCGCTTGTACGGCAGAGTGATTTCATTTGTTGAAAGATACTCATGGAAACGATTAATAGCTCGGTTGTACCTCTCACGGGTTTTGGGCTGTACTGTCAACTGCTGAAGTGACCCCAATTGGGCTCTCGTGGCTTGCCTTTCTGCTTTGCTTCTTCCTTCCATGTGTTGGCTCACTTTCCTCCCCATTTCCTCCGAAAGCGCCCCCTGGAGGGCGCATCCGCCGGATTTAGAGCAGTATGAACGTAAGTCCACACCGCCATGTTTTGGGAAAGAAGGAGCAAAGCATTGATTCGAGCCACGGTTCTTCTCAACTTGCGGCTACTGGTTCTACCGCGAGTCAACGTATGGAGACACACGAGGGAGTCAGTAAGATGCACTATTCTGCGCCCCCTGGTCCTCAATTTTAGAATGCGCCAACGCAAGGCACACAGCACCGCTCTCATTTCAAGGTTGTTAATGTGTTCTTTGGAGCCTTTCCAAGTCCAGCCACACACTGTTCTCCAAACCCACAGGTTCGAGGGTATGCTAGCCCTAAGGCGTTGGTACCGAAGTGTATCTTCACTGGGAGCAGAGATGAGAATATCTTCACCTTTGATACTCACCAGGTTCAAAAGCTTTTTGACTAATTGGAGTTCCTTCCCAGCCACCAAGTGTTTCCTCGGTCCTCCCATGGGCGGTCTTGTCAGAAAGGAGGCTAAGTCCACCGTGGCTCCTGGAGAAGTTCGTTCAATGGCCTGCTGGACACTGAGGCATGGAATGAGGCCCAACGGTTGGCAGAGCTGTCCCAATAACCAGGTCACCACCGTGACGTTCCAGCTATTGCCCAGGAGAGTGAGCCTCAAGTCTTGGTGTGCTGTGGTCCCTTGCTCGCTCTTCGGGAGAGAGGCCACGGTAAAATGCCTAGGGAACCCTAGGATCACTTCACGTTCTTCCACATTCACCAGGCGAGAGGCGCCACCTTTCTGGACATGGAAACATGTTTGGTACTGGTATGGTGGGAACCGGAAGAGGTCATCCTGCCATAATTGCCTTTCCGTTGGGCTCAGTTTATCTATCCCGGCAGGGCGTCGACCTGGGTGAGATCTAGGACGGGACGTGGTGAAAGTTGGTAAAGGTTCAGAGGTGACACGGGTCCACCCTGGGGTCAGATACCGGGACTCTTCTATTCTACCTGACAACTTTACCTCACCAAAACCTTTCCATTCGGAGGTTTTTGGCGGGTGCACTTCTGCGTTGCTCTCTGGTACCAGAGCCCAGCTGAGCCAATAGAGGCGCGGCCTGCGTGACATACTGACTCCTTGAGCGTCAATGGCCCAAGGCAGGTCACCAAAGTCCATGCTCATCACTTGACGATCTTGCTCGTCCATTGATTGTACAGATTCCATGATGCAGTGCACCTGCGCCCAGGCAAATTGCCTTGCCACCAACTTCCGAATGCGACTCACATACTTAAAGAGCTTACTTCGGTGATCCCGTAAGGCTCCCCGTCTGTCTACATTCAAACCACTGACCCCCTGGCAGGGTGGCCCTGCCCCGATTATCACGAGCCCTACCTGAGTGAATTGGCATGCCCATTCCTTTACCGTCTCAGCTGTGACCAGATTGACATCATCCACGAAAACCGTGCTCGGGAATCGTGACTCCAGTACTCTTGAAGCCTCTTTGTTGATCTCAATGCTAACGTGTCCCGCTACGGGAAGCCCTGCAGCATCAGCTGCAACCCGAAGGGCACCTATGCCATCAAAGATACCAATTGTTAAAACCTGAGTCATATCCTCAACTTCCGCCACATCTCCCCTAACTGGGCAGGAGGCAGCGATCTGGCCAATGTTGCTGAGACTTCGGCTCACTGTAACACCACCCCCTGTTGATGAAGCATCGCTAGCGGTGACTTTTTCATCAGGCATAGCCCGAAAATCCATGCGCGCCAGCGGTAACAGCATGAGGAAACGCAAAATCTCAACCTTCACCAACTCTGGGATTTCCAGCCGAATGACCGCCGGGTAGTGGTTGAAATCTTCAATAAATGACCAGATACTGTTAAGGCTACCCATCAGGGCACGCCGAAAAGTGGCGAGGTAAACCAGCCCTCCTGCGACCACCTGCATTTCCTTCTGGCTACACCTGCCCGTTGTCACAGTCAATAGAGCCAATTGTGTGTACTTTAAAACCTTCTCAGGTTTTGGGTAAGCACATCCTAGAGCTCCATCGACAATTGCACCTTGAACCTCCGCCTTGACCCCTCTCTGAACAGCTTTCTTTGGATGCCGGGGTATTCCCCAATGCTCATACTCTTGCCTAAGAGCAAGCACACCCGGAGTTGGGGAACCTCGTATGGTCTCAGCCAACTTAGCATCCACCCTTTCCAACTCATCGAAATTATCCAAATACACGCGATGAATATTTCCTGAATTTGGGAAGGGTCTATCCTTCCTCAACTCTTGATGACCTTCCAGGTGACCTGAGACTCTCCGTGAGGCACCTTTGACAATCATTCGGTGGATGTGCTGTGCCAAACTCACGCTGTTCTTAAATCCCATGGGTAATACCTTCGCCACCAGGACGTGCCGTCCTGCCTTACCCGGATGGAAACGGGGGTTTACCACCTTGTTGAAACCTAAAAAGCGATGCCAATCTTGAGGAACACGGAAAATATAAAAGAAACATTTCACGTCTTCACTGGTGATCAACAACTGCTGTGAAGGCATCAAAAACAGGGGCCCTGATGACGACCAGGCTGGCAGTGTAGCCACATCTCCTTGAATGCCCCGACATATATGGTTCAGCGGGATCAAATTCATGATCAAGCGATGGACGTCATGCCCATCTACTTGTTCTCCTTTGGACACGCCGAATAATCCATTCAGCAGAGGTTTTCCCTCTACTTGAAACAATTCATTTTCTGCCATGACTCCACATATTCCAGCCGAGATAAGGCCCTCACAGACCCCATCCCAGTCGTGCTCCGTCACCATCACCTTGGGGGGCCTTGTGTAGGTCCTGGATTTTCATCCAGTAAAAAGTCTTCAAAATGGTCCACATAATGGGCACAACCCGGGCCAACCACCTGACTCAAAGGCACACTGCCTACTTCCACAGGGATTGCCGATTGCAGGTTTGCCCAAGATGTAACCCGGGCTGTAGCCACCTCATCACCCACATAGTCTAGGCTTTTCAGCTGGAAAAAACTCTGCCAGGAAATATCTCCAAACACTTCAGACCATCCCATCACATCTTCCACTGATGCGACCAATCCTTCCAGGAAAAATTTCTGAACCTTACTCAAAGGTGCACTTGACTCTAACGCGGTTCCAGCGTAGCTGTTTAAACCTAGACAAACACAACTAAGCAGCAGGAGGGCATCCTCATCCAGCTTCCCCACCCCGCGTAATAGGTCAATGTTGGTGGGTAACGGAAAAAACGTCACCCGTGGTCTGGGTCTCGCCGCGTCTAAACTTAAGCTCTTTTTCCGTTGAAATCAACAGAGACCTAAGGAGGGGGGAAACAGCAGAAAACTTGCAACCACCCAGTTCTTTTGAAAACTGGCCCTCCCCAGACCCTTCATCACGGCTGCGCGCGTCTTTTTCAGGACCACCGGCACGGAAGCAGTCTTCAGCAGCTCCTAGAAGACTTCGACGAAAGCCCACCATGCTAGGGCTAGCAGCTGCCAGCGCCGCCGCATTACCACAGCAGCCATCTTCCAAAGTGGTCCCATCTTCTTTGTTGGAAAACTGGGCACTGGTAGTCGGCCTTGCACCACCAGCGGCATCTGTACTCAAGAACCCGGCCTCACCAGGCGTCAGAGTCATTCTGCTCATCCCTTGGATCTCAAAAGGGCCGCAAGGGTCATCTTGATATGACAAGCCAGTCTTCACTCCCTTTGTTGTTTTCAGGAGAGACTGGTCCTCCTCTCTTTTCTCTTCACTCACTCCCCTCCTAAGGAGTTTCTCTTTTTCCACTCCCTTATGCTCCTCCAGGAGTGCTTCTTTCTCTGGACTCTTTCCTTCCGCTGCTCCCTTGTCTAGGAGCCTCTCTTCCCTTCCTCTTTGTCGCTTCCTTTCTTGTTCTTTCCTTTGTCCTTCCCCTTCTGCTCCCCTTTTCCTCCGGGGCGCCATGCGGGGTAGGCGCTGTCGCTCTTGCCCTTTTCCTTTCCTTTGCCCAAATTCCTTGCCTTCAACTCGTCCTTGTTTTCTTTGGCCGCAGCTTGCGCTTCGGCGCGACTCGATAGGTGGCCCTTCTCTGGGGGCAACACCTCCACCCGCTGGGCTACCATCCAACTTGTGCCGCCTGCGCTCATCTCTATGCTCTTCAGCCGCTGAGACAAGCAATCGGCCAGATTGGCCACTTTCCCTTGCAATGCTAGGTCTAGGGCCCAGCTCAACGTCAAGGCCTCCCGAGCAGCTCATCCTGTCAGCCTGCTGGAAAGCTGACTCCTGTAGTACTGCAAGGCTATTGGCGGTACCGCCGACCGGTCCCTCTCCCAGACCGTGCCCGCCGATGTGAGCAGCTGACGCTGCATCTCCTTGACCATACCATAGGTCAATGCGCCCGGGGCCTTCCGGCTGATGCTCCTCACCTTGTGACTGTCCTCGAAGAGCTGGCCAGATTCGCTGCTCCCCAAGCTCGATGCCTTCGAGCTCCCCTCCAAGGAGCTCCCACTGCTTGGGGAACTTTCGTCCTTCTTCTTTCGCATCTTCCTCTTTACTCTCTTCAGCAACCTCCTCCGTACCTTGGGATCTGGATCCAAGGCCGTCGTCCCAAAAACTTGAGACAGACTTTTTTGTGATTCCACTTTCTTTTTCGGAGTCTTTTTCTCCCTTGTTTGACTGGTCTCGCTGGTACTTCTGCTCCGCTTGGCCTTCTTCTTCTTCTTCTTTTTCTTTTCTCTTTCTTTGCCATCGGCCTTCTGAGCCCTCTCTCTCTCCTCTCTTTCTGGACCGGGAGCGGCCTTGTCTCTCCTCAAGGCGGCCAGCTCGTCCAGAGACCCTTTCATGTTCTCTGTCCATCCCCCTTCGTCTTCTCGTGTCTTTAAACGGACTTTTTGAGCGTGGATCAAGTCCTTGGCTTCGATCTTGGCTGGACAGGCTCCTCCGCATAGATGAACTCGAATGGCCGCTTCGGGATTTTCGGAGTTCCACTTTAGGAGATCTTCGTGGTCCGTGCCCTCGGCTTTCACCGCGAGCTCCACATCCGATGCTCCCTTTATCTTCAAACTCCGGATCACCCCACATACCTTGCAAGGTGCTCCCCAATATTCTCCCTCGCACACCAGGAGAGTTCCTTGGGTGAGCCGGCCCAACGGCACCTTCGATGCCTCGACCAACTCGCCTGCAATGAAGCGATCTTCCAAGTTCTCCCCTCTCACGCCCGGATCTCTCTCCTCCTCGGCTCTGGCCGGCCTCCTCAACACTCCTCTGACTCGTACTGCGTCTTTTGCTGCGGCTTTGACTGCAGCTGGTCTGCGCAATGCCATCAACGATACCGGTAGTATCGGTCCTCAAACTGAGCGTCTCGCCACTCTTGCTGCTTCTTCCTCTTCTTCTGCCCTTTGTTTTCGCCCCAATTGGCGTCGTACCGATCTGAGTTGCCTGGCGGCAAGTAGTACGACTGGAAATAGTCTCGATGTTGTGAATATCCTCTCCAGCTAGATGGAGGGTTGGCTGGCTCTGGAGGTCTGCAATCTCCCCTCCTAGGAGATTCCCCCCCCTTCGAAGTGGGCCTGGAATTTCTATCTCTCCTTGGCCTTCGGCTATCTCTTCTACTCCTCCTCGGGCGGGAACGACTTTTCTTGCTTTTCTTCTTTGCTTTTTCCTTTTTTGTTTTTGTGTCTTTTTTCTCTTTCCGCTCCTCTGGGGCAGCAATGTCCTCCTTGGTTTTCTTTTCCTTTCTTCTGGGCTCCTCTTCTATATCTTCCTGCTTGACGGCGGGCGGCAGTAACTCTTCGTTCTCTACTGGAATTCCTTCTGAAGGGCTTGAGATTTTCCCAGGAGAGACCTCTCTCCCTTTAGGAGCCAAAGGCTCCCTTTTTTCAGACTTAACTTCCTCCTTTGCCGGCTGATCCCCCGCCTCAGGAACAGGCTGGGTAAAAGTGACAGGAGAGGCTGCCTTCGAAGTGGCAGCTGCCTCGGCGGCTTTCCGGGCTGCTTCAGCCCCTTTCTCCCACTTCCCAGCCTCCTCCTGCACTATCGAAACCCAAACGCGGGTTTGATCAATGGCCCAACCACGTAGGCAAGGCCCCAATCGCCGAAGCTCGGAGGTCAGCCGCTGCACAGACCGGCAAAAGGCACACAGACCGTCGATCTCCGCCAGGTATTGCTGGCAGTCACTACAAGTCTGCATATGCTGAAGCCGAAACTTTACAGAAAAAGAGGTGTCCACCAATTCATCTTTACTTCCGAGGACGTTCATTCATATATTATTTATATATTATTTCTATATATATATATATATTATTTATATATATATACATACCATGGGTGCAAACCATGGTAAATCTTGAAAAAAATGCCATTCTTAGTCACCACTTCCCCCATTAAGATATACTAATTGCCATGTTCACCCAGTGGTTCACGGCACCTCCATCTGCAGCTCCATTGGAATCTCCTGGATCTCCCAGAGAGCTAAATCATCGAAGTGTCAAATGACGGATCCTGTATGGGTCATCTATTCCAGTGAACTGTCAAATTACCAGATTGATTATATTATATATTATATATATCATATATGATCATCATCCCAGTTCTTGGAAAGGAAAATCGGAAAAAAATGGAACAATGATTCAAAACCAGCAGCTAGAAACTGAAATGGGCGGCTTTGCCCTGCCTCGCTTTGCGAGCTGACTCCGGTTGCTGAATCGTACATGGCCAAGCCTTTTTTCTGACTGCCACTATCAACTTACCATTCCTCAGGGCTTACTGAGGGTGTGAGCTCAATATCCAAGGCCGACAAGGTCTGTTGAAATCTCAATAGCTTCCATCTGAGCAAAAGTTGTCCAATGTGGAGCTTTCACGCCTGTTCAGCAGCTAAACCAGCCAAGCCAAGTTCAACAGGTGAAATGTCACTCCACTTCTATTGCCCATGTGCCCTCACATGACATCAACAAATCTCAGTTGCTCAGATTCCAGTCAAAAAAACGGCAGTGAGCCATGATGATCCGTGAATAGTGCTTATTCCTGTACATCCAAAAACGTCACCACATCCAGAGCCCTTTGTCCTTCTTTTTCCCGCCATCCAATCCGCACTCACCTTGGTCATCTTGCAACTAAAAAAAAAACCTGCCGCTCGTACAACAAAAACCACTTAGGGTACCCTCAAATCATCCATTTTAGCAGGATTTTCTATTATAAATTATAAACCATCCAGCTATTGGGGTACCCCCATTTTAGGAAACCCCCATATTATGTGACATTGAAAATTTGGATGAGGTAAAACAGTGCTGTATGCTGCGGGCAACTCCTCAGCACAGGTCTTTAGGGCCAAATACATCCCTGAAAAGCTCCCTGCTACCACAAAACGGGCTGGTGACGGACCCTCTTGGGCACCCCATCTGTCGGATTCCGGCTTGAAATGCCAGTGACTTCTCAACCAATTTCAGGCATCGGCATTGGCATCATTTATTATCATTTGGTGTTTCATATCCCCCAGTCCTGATTGGCTACGGTATGACGGTTCTGTCCCCATACTTTTTGTTTGCTCATATTATCCCCATCATTCTGACCCCAATCTTTGATAGTCTGAAGTTCTCCACATCAAAATTACGAAAATCTAGCCCATGAAACCGCCATTCACCTGTCAGTCCACTCTTCATTGACAAAAGCTACTCTCTGGTAAACTAACATAGCTATGGAAAATCACCACTCGAATAGGTAAATCAACTATAAATGGGCCATGTTCATCCATTTTCAATAGCTTTTTGTATGTTTACTAGAGGGTATGCTTCAAATCCCCCCAAAAAAAAACGTGTTTTCTGTCGCCCACGGCCTCTTTTTGGGGGCCATTTTCAGCATAAATCGCCCAAGTGGCCCACCCCTGCCGTTGGGATCTGCTCTAAGAGTTCCCGCAGTTCCCGTCCGTCTCCATCAGATCCGGCTGCCCCAGCCCACCAGGGATGGATCCCGAAGGAAGGCACGACAAAGTCTGGGAAGTCCCTGGGATCAATGGAAAACCCCATGGGACCCCCATGGGGATCATTGGATGAAAAATGATCCGAGTTTTTTTGTCGCAAAAATGACTGGCCAAAATCATGTGAAAAATAAGTTGTTTGCGCCGGCCATGATATCATTGATACAGTATCATTATGATCTTTATTTCAGATCTTGCTGTGGATGTCATTTGCTGTGGATGTCATTATCCATGAAAAATATGGGGATACCAAAACCGGCCAAGAATTCCTCTGGGAAGATGTCATCAAATGTCACTGGGAAGACCAGAATTGTGTTTTTTTTGTCACTGGCTTTCCTCCGAAATGCAGTCTGCAAAAGTAAGCCCCAAATCTTTCCTGTATCAGATCTTTTTCCAACCGACGAACATAAGTTGGGTGTCCCATCAACCCCAACTTGCAGTAATGGCCGGAGGTTTCAAACAAGTCATGGGGGATCCCCCAAGTCCCCAATGGCTTAACCATGCCATTTTCTACACCAGTCGTCCCCGATGGCCTGGACATCATCTGCACCTTTTCCCAGTCGGAGGCATGGCAGCCACACACCGCGGCGCCTTGGACGCCGCGTCGGCGCGCGCGCTCCACCACAGCCGCAGGCGGCTGCGAGCGCAGCTGGAGGTGACAGTGGGCATCGAAGAGTGGCCGCCTTGGTAAAACGATGGTTTTTGGAGGAAGATTTAACCATGAATGATGGTTAATAATGGTTAATCATGAAAACCTTTCAGAATCTTTCAGATCATTCTGAAAGATTTCAAATTTGATTCCTTGGGTCTGCAAAAGGGACCTGGGACCCATGTGAATCCATTAATCGGCCCAAGGGATTCCAATTACAACAACGTTGCTGGGTAGACTCAGTAGTCCCATGGTAGCCACCAAAATCAAACATTTCTTGGTTCATCTTATCCATTTGAAGCCACCACCCAGTTTCATTGGTCCAATTGGTGCGTGTCCCCGTTCTTGCTGGTGATATTCCCATTCATTTCTTTATAGCCCCCAGGCCCCCAAGTGTTTCAAACCAACTATATTTGATACAGTTTGAAGGCTCAAAACATATGTCAATATGTTTGTTCAATTGGTGATATAAAGCAGTTGCATATGTTTTTGGCGGGTTGCCAGTTTTCTTGGTCTTTACATATGAACCATTGTTAACCACTATTAGCCTGTACTACCCATTATTAACCATCATCAACCATCATCAACCATTGTTAACCATTACTTAACTATCAACCATTATTATATATTAAGCATTATTGAACATGATTAACCATGATTAACCATTCTGAACCATTATTAACCATTATTAACCACTTATAAACCATGATTAACCATTATTAACCATTGACACATATGGTTTTGCCAGTTGTATCCCCATATCCCCAGGAAGTGTTCCATCAACTCCTCCGAGTCGCGCCATCGCACAGCCGCGGCCAATGGCCACAAGGCTGGCGAAGGTCGCGGTCCGGCAGCGCCGGCGGTCAGGCCAACGTCGCCATGGCATCTGAAGCTTCCGGAAGGAGTAAGGAGTAGAGATATATGTTATATATATGTATATGTATATAATTGTATATATATATAGTACAGATTTGGCAGATTTAGGTATGGTATGAATACATTTTGTGTGTGTTATGTGTATATATAAAGTTAGAGAGAGAGAGAGACAGAGAGAGACGGGGAGAGAGAGAGAGAGAGAGAGATGGATGTAGATGAACCAGTAGATACGTATCCAATTCCTGCATCAGAAGATATGCATCCAGTATTGTTCATCGATAAAAACTGGGCACTGAGCAAAATTGGTTGCTTTACTCTGTATATACCTAATCTAAACATCATAAAACTGTGTCAGTCCTTGGTCTTCCCTTCTGACTGAAAGGGACTGAAAACCACCTGTTTTTGAGACTTGCGGCGCAGTGGAAGTCATGTGAACAACCATCCAATGAGCCTGCGTGGTCGTAGGCTGCAAGGCTGGCTACATCTGTTGCTGCATGTTTGTTTTTTTCGAAACAAGATGAATAGGAAGGGCCCTCAAGTTGGTTTCTAAGCCCTAGCTAGCTCGGTTTGTTCATCCGGTTGGGACTTAGGGATGAGCATGACATGGCAGCAGTTTTGCAGTCCCCATGGATTCTATCCTGCTTCCGCAGGCAGTTTGGAGATTTTCACAAAGCCTTACAAACGCCTTGACTTCAAGGATGAAGTTTGGAACAGTATATGATCATTTTGTCAACTCAGGCTACATCACTCAAAAGAATGCTTCAACAGCTGAATAGGAACAATGACAATCGGGCCCACTGCCACAATCAAATGAAAACAATCCTCACGTTACTCATTACTCATCATCATCTCCCAAACCAATCATAGTGGGAGGTCATAAACCAACTTCATGATTCACTGACCTGGGGGGCGCATCTTCATGTTTTGACTCTGCATGTCTGTAGAACCCCCATGAACTCCCCAAAAACGCCCCGCCAAACCACGGTGCCCCACAGTGCCCCACAGCTCGAACGAACAGAGAGGTGGCTTCGCACTGTGTCAGCGAAACCTTCAGGAACTTTCCGTCCACACCTGGGGATCTCAAGATTCGGATCAAGGTGAGGCTGAAAGATTTTTTGCATCGCCTGCCGATGCTTGGAAGAAGTGGGGGGGTTGTATAGCCAGCTGCTATATAATATAGTGTGTATGTATATATATGATATATGTATATATATGTTATATTCATATGTATAACCAAGGGACGTTGGGGGGATCGTCGAAAGTGAGGGGTACGACTCAGTAGGAACCCAACACAGAATCTGAGATATGCAATCTGTGCAACGTGTCGCTATGTACGTCTATGACAAAATCCATGGATATATGCTGGGTTCATGTTCAATCCTAAAGCAGGAATAAAACAAAACCATATACCCTCTGGTAATTTAACATAGCTATTGAAAATCACAATTTTTAATGGGAAAATCCACTATTAATGGTCATTTTCAATAGCTACGTTAAATTACCAGAGGGTAGTTTCTATTCGTTTTAAGTATTTCCCCGAACAGATTTTCCCAAGTGTTGCGGTACTATGCCGTGGGTTCAATGGCTTCACCAACTCCAATCAGATCAACTGGGCAGCCCGACCAAAGCCGTTCATCATGTTGGAGGCCTGCCAGGTCGACCAGTGGAAGATGGCCATCCCATGCCCAAAAGATGGGGCTAGCAGCCTCTTCAATGGCAGAAATGATTTTTTTGGAAGACATTTCCGATGTCAAGCAACTCGACTTGCAGGTTTGAATGAACCTGAAGAATCTAAAGTGGGATTTTCCTGCCAGAATGGCATAGACTATACATAGATTTACCAAAAGTTTAATAGCCCGTTGGGTTTCTTAGACCTCTAGTGGTTGGCTCGGTTGGCTCTCGTTCAATCGCGCCTGTTCAGCAGCTTGGGACGAGGCATACCTGTGCATTTGGATGTCTCAGCCATGAACTTCTGAGAAGGGTTCCCTCCCAGATCTTTTGTCCCTCCAACTTTGTCATTTCAAGTAGTGTCCGGAAGGGACCCCCCATGAAAGGTTTCACGTGGCCTAAATCATGAAAAAAAAACATATCATATCACCCAGTGCTTCATTAGTTGGAGAGACCCTTCAAATCCTTCAAGACCCTGCCCTTCTTAGCCTTACCCTCCGGCAATCAAACATGGCAATGGGAAATCTCCCATTTGTAAATGATTTACCCAGCTCAAATTCATCCCGGATGGCCAGAAAACCAACTGACCGAGACTCAACTTGTGGTGTGGTTCGTGTTAGGCAGGTAGCTGAGGGGTCTGGCTGATCTTCTGATGGGCTGATAGAATGCGTGTTCCAGCAACACACGTGATATGCCACAGATTTTGATGTGGTGACAAACATCCCCCCCACCCTGGAGGCCAAATTCCTCCTAGAGAATTACTCTTCCAAGAATTGCTGAACAAGGAGAAAATCACTGTCCCAAATATGTTTGTATCAATTCATGCAAAACGACAATTGCACCAAAAATTACACCGGCAAGAGACCCCAAACAGACTGGAGAAGGCGACCGGAGATGCATGTGGTAGGGATATGAAAATGCTCCAGACCAAGACCGGGACAACCGTTTTGTGCGAGCCTGCGCAGTCGAAATGCACATGGACATCTCGCAAGAGCCATTTGATGCGAGAATTTACAGAAAAAATGCCAGGGATCAAATGGAGCACCCTGATCTAACCCCGGCCTTTACCACTTACCGAAAGAACCCCTCAGTTCGGACACACTGTTTGGGGAAATACTTCGAACACCTTGGGACCACACTCCAATTATTTCAAAAAATATAATGTATGTACTAGCTATGATTTTCAATTCTGGTGCTCCTATATTGAAGAGAAGTATCGATCCATTAACGACCGAAAGCCGCTGCAGCCCTCAATTCCACATCATTAGAACCGATTGGAACTACTACCCTCTGGTTATTTATATAACATAGCCATGGGATAATGGCCCATTTATAGATGGTTTACCTATTAAAAATGGGGATTTTCCATGGCTATGTTAAATAACCAGATGGTAAAATCATCTCAAATCATCTCTAAATCCATTGACAACTGCAAAGCAGTCGCTTCCTTCCTGACGCGTCATGATGTGCCCTGCTACTCGTAAATTCGATTAAAGACTCGGAATAACTAAAGCCAACCCTCAAATACGGACAGTTGTCGAATTGTCACCCTATCATACCCTATGTATATCTGGTAAACCATCCAGATTTTAGTTTACAGCATGTCTAGCCCCATCCCACTTCGCAAGTGGCTAACAATCATATTTTTTCCCAGCAACAAACATGGAATATCCCCAGTTTTTTCATCAAATGCCTATAAATCTATTGTTTGCAAACCATTTGTATATCTTACGTAATTTCTATATATATATATATATCATATCTTTATACATATATTTGATATCTATATACATCAATTATATATATATATAATAATATCTATCTGCCCCGGCTTGGCCGCACTTTCCAACTCCAAGAACCGCCCAAAATTTGCGGTTCTTCGCGCACGTCACGAAGCCGCAACTTCGCGAGAAGCCGTTGGCGTCACGCTGGACGTGTGCCGCCGTGACCTGGCAAAAATGGGGATCTTTGACAAAAAAAAACTTTGAAAATGGTGATGATATGCTGGTTATATGGAGATATGCTGGTTTTATGGAGTATCATCAGTATATGATATATGGAGATATATGGAGATATGTGTTATAACTCTATCTATCAGCCATCTAATATGTTTTTTTCATGTTAGAACACCATCTATGCTTACAAAATGGAGATGTTCAATGACCAGTTGATCCCAGTGGTTTCGAGACGTCATGGTCAGTGACGACTGAAAGATTTTACGGACCCCAATGACTGGATTGAAATCTCCAATATAACCAGGAATATGGAGACTGTCAATGATCATATATATATTATAATTATATATATATAATTAAAATTATATATTATATAATTATGTACATATATATAATTATATGTGTGTGTGTGTTTGATTGTTTTTTGTCATTGACAATCTCCATGTTTTCATGGCGATATAACTATATAACAATATCCCAATATGAAGATTTCAAGGATATATTGGGATTAGTTCACGAAGAAATGGTGAATTTATTCTGTGGGATTTCTGGATGGGATATACAACCCACCAATAATCTTACGAGGGATATGGATGTGTCTGAAAATGTGATATAATACTCTTCCCGGTGACAGTATTTTGACACAAACCCACATGAAAAATCATGAAAGTGGGTAGTTAAGTAGGTAGTTTTATTCAGCTTCAAAGTATGTACATGTGGACTTCTTCGATGGTTTCAGTTTGTTTCAGATCATTGCAGGGGCCACGATATCAATCCTGAACATACCCGATTTGCCGAGCCCAACAACGGCAAAAAAACGCACGTGGAGTGGATAAAACCCAAACGGGATAACTAGTTATTGGGTTTCAATCAACATTTCATGGCTTGAAAAATGACGAATTGGTGGGTAGAGTGTGTCATTCCGGGCGAAACCGAGCTAAGTTGGAAGTGACTAGAAAATAATGTCCTTACATGTCAGTATTAGTACTACGGCATAGGACTACAAAAAAAATAGGGTGCAATCGTCTGCATACTCAGGAATGAAATTTCATCTCCCAGTTTTTGGTACTTGGTCATGGTTCAAGGTCAGTTATGAATATATGTACATCTATAGCCCCAGTCAAGTGTGGATGAAGATGGATTCACCATCTTTATCCCACGAAAACCAGGGATATCACATACAAAATACCCATGGCATTGGTCGCATCGGTCCCCCCCTCTCAAATTCCTGCTGCCTGGCCAAAGGGCGCAAAGAGCTGCATGAGGTCGGACTGCGACAACGGCGCTGTTTCAATTCATTGAGTGATAGCAAGATTCAGATAAATTGATCATCATCATCCTCATCATCATCATCATCATCCTCATCATCATCATCATCATCATCCTCATCATCATCATCATCATCACTGTTTATTGATAATATTAATGATGTAATTTTAGTTGATAAAATTCATGAATCCATCATTTCGTATGATTGTCAGATCATTATTGATTAATAGCGTTTACTGATCAGATGTAAATCAACCAGTTAAAATCACTCAGTTGGCATTAGATAATGAGTATTTACACAATTCAATGATCATCAGCTGATGAATGATAAATTCACCATATGTGATTATATATATATATATATTCATAAAAAAAATTGCTGTAATTGTTTTTTACGTTAAATATGATTCTATAGTCATATAATTGATATCTGTACATTGACTATGCCTGATGGTAAATTTTGTTGATTAGTTTTGAATAGTTCGAAGGAATGTACCTCATCTAACTTGGTGACTATCCCAAGGCTCCATTGAGGGTGTTGACATTTGTAGAAAGCATCATAAAAACCTCCAGTCCCATGAACTATACTATCTAGGAACATATGGTAAACACAAATAGTTTAACTACCTGAAGTTTGAGCCTTTTTGGATAGTTACCCTTACAGTTCCCATCATTTGCGTTGTGAAGTTGCAAGGAGATTGTTGCGATTTCTCCAGATCCCATAAATTACCCATAAACAACCCATAAAAACAGCCCTTGGATTTGCTTAAGATGGCCATGAAAAGTACAACCCATCCTCCCTGGGTCGATTCCCTATATAAATGGTCGATTCACCAAAGGGAAAATATGACCCTGGCAGTCATCGGGGTTGGTTCAGACTAGTGAAACCATTAAAAATTGGTGAGAAAATCAGGGTCCAACTGTCCAACTGTTTATTTACCAGAGGGTATATACCCAGATTTATTGATTACCCTCTGATTATCTAACAGTTCGTTGTGGGAAATTACAATCTTTAATAGGTATTATCATCATCATTTTTATCATGCATAACTGTGCCATCTTCAATAGCAAATCATCAAAATCTCCAGAATTATGGACAACATCATTCTATATATGGTATTGGTCCATATATCCAATTGGTATCCATAATTGATGAGGATCCCCCCGCTCTACCCCCTAAAAAAAGGCCCCTGCCTCACTCCACTCAGGCGGCATGTGGAAAATGTAGCAGGCCGCCTATAGAAACGTGGTCGGAAATCAGGAAGTATCCAGTAAACTAACGGAAAAGCTATGGTAAATGGACCATAGAAAATAGGTGATGTACTTATTCAGTGATTTCCAGAGCTAAACGTTTACCAGAGGGTAACATATGTACTATTTAACATGTGGTTCCTAAAATAGTGATGACATAGGGAACATTTGGTAGGAAATAAATTGTGATAACATAGTAATTTGATATTTACTGAAATCCATATGTTGTCACTGTTTTCTCGCAGGATTTACCCCATGTCTATCTCTTTGGTGATCACCCAAACGTGTGTATATATAATATAATGGACTGAAATACTGGATTTACAGCGCAAAATCAGGGTGTAATCATGTGTAATCAGAAATAATAAAGTGGAAGAAAAGCGCCAAACACATATGAATATCATATGATGATATCATATTCTAAGTCAAAAGCAAACAATACCCTGATGTTCACATAAGAGGAGTTGCCAGCAAAATTGATTGTTGAAGATTCAAATATCAACTGTGGTGGTTCCTCAAAATCAAAATAGTGAGTATGTCCGATTACACATAGTTGACCTCCATATAAACCAGGTGGATATTGATCAATTCATTGAATACCCAAAAACCTGGATGCTGCTTTTTCCATTGCAAAACTGCGGTCCAGCCGTCCATTTTTTTCGAAGCATACACTTTGGGGGTGGGCATCTCAGGAATCGTAAGCACGGTGTCTGGGTTTGTCTCAAAATTGGATACCCCATTCCATCCAACTGTTTGTCATCATTGTTCCAATATGTTCCAATATCTTCGTGGCAATTCTTGCATTATACCCCATGTTCAGACATTTTTTCCAAGCCCACCCAAATACATCCAAATACATCCAAGCTATCCCCACCTCACCGGGAGCGGGCGTCATCTCACCCGCACGTCGCGACGGCCTTTTTGGCGAAGGGGCGTTTTTACAGGCGTTTTTACGGGCGGGGATGGTGGACCACTAAACTTGGATGGTCGGATGGTGAATACTGAAAATGAAATAAAATGAAATAAAATGGTGAATACTTAGAATCTGCGGTTTTGTGCTTAGATTTTGAGCCCCCAAATGGCGTGAAGTAATTGAATTCCTGAGTGAAAATGCTACAGGACACTTTTTTGGGAGTGACAATCAAGAAATGACTCTTTGGCAACAGATGTTCATCTGGATAGTTACCCCCAATATATCCCAATCCCAACCATCATTTCCAGAAACCCAAAGGGGTTTCCCAAAATAGGACTACCCAAAAAATGGATTCTTTACAATGGTATATAGTGATAAATCATGATAAATCATGATAAATCATGATAGATCATGATAAATCATGATAAATCTTATTAGAATGGATGATTTGGGGGTACCCCTATTTTCAGGAAACCCCCACAGTCCTAGTCACCTCTGCGTCCAATCTCTCGGGCTCGGACTGGCAGTCGAAGTTGCCGGGCTTCTGCCAGATGATCTGCGGCTTTTTTCGCTGGCAGATGTGAAAAAACGGCATCTGGTCATAGGTTTTGACCCCTCAGATCTGTTTGATATGGTTTATGTATGTTTATGTGAAATTTGGGAACGTTGCTTGTGCTTAGCGTTTCAGTCACGAGTTGCTCTATGTTCTGTACATGTTCGTACTGAAAAATGTGAAACTCTTTTCCGCCACGACCAGTGGGCGATGAAAAAGTATCAAAAACGGAGCCGCATAGCGTCGGTAAATTAACATAATCCCTTCACCCTATATAATATTAAACGTCCCCCAAAATAATAAAACCTAGGGGTTGTTTTTGATTATTAGGATGTAATTGTATAATATTCGGGGGAGAATCTGGCCCCTAATACTAATTTTTAAACCTTAATTTGAAGGACTATGTTTTTTTTTTCAGAATCGATTAAATTCCGTGTTTAAAATCAAATTAAAATATTGCCAAAAAATAGATTTCGAAGCTTTGCCCTGATATTAAATCTAAAATTTCAATAACAAAACAACTATTTTTTTGATTTCAAAATCGATTGAATTCCTTTTTAGAATCTAATTAAAATATTGCCAAAAATTGATGTGGAAGCTTTCCCCTAATATTGAATTTAAAACCTTAACAAAAAACAAACATGTTAAATTTTAAATTTTAACAAACGGACCCTAATATAAAAAAACATCGAGGTTTTCAATAGTCTTTACTATTAGGGGGTAGAACCTTCAATTTGGACCTTGATTTATGTTTTTTAATAAAGGGAATCAATTAAAAGTCAAATTGACCCATCTGAAATTTCCCAAAACAAATAATCTGGGGTAGTTTTTGTTATTTGGGGGAATTTTAGTAATAGGGAGAAGGGATTGGCTGTGAAAAACGGTCCATTTTTAGATGATTTGCCTGTGAAAAAAGGCGAATTTTTCCTGGATTTCCCAGCTAGAAACCTCCATGGCTAGGGTATTTCCCACATATACATATGTATATATATATCCCATGATTTTCCCGTATGTTCCATGGATTTTCCATGACTTTCCCATGGATTTTCCTCAAGACATGGCTCTCCCTTAGGTGACCTCTCCGGTCAGCACGTTCTTGTAGAAGGTCTCGCCCGCGGGGCTTAGGTACCTGGGCCGTCCATGGGTTTTCCCCATTTTTCGGCCGCGCGAGGAATACGCAGCACTTCGCGTTAAATGCTTAGGAGACGTGTTAAACCCTCCCTAGTGCCCGTTTGGCACCTCCAATCAAATTCAAACACTAGGCAATGTGAAACAAGGGGAAAGCAATCAAGAACACTGCAAACAGACGCGCAAAAACTGGTGAAACGGAATGGTCGTTGAAACTCCTATATTTGGGGCTTTGGTTCAATTTTTTTACACGTGATTTGCCCATTAAAAACACTGATTTTCCATAGCTATGTTAGTTTACCAGAGGGTAAACCCAGCTCCGACCGCAGGCGCACTGTGCAAAGTGACCTCGCACGGCCACCACACGCGCCTGGACCGACGGGAAATGATTGGGGGAGAGATCTTCAAAATGGTCGTTTAACCTAAAAATAATGAGATCTATCGTATCAGTAGATATGATACAAATGTATCAACAATGGGATAATTATAATTGTTTGGATTTATAAATGTCTGTATAAATACCTTTAAGATTATACAAGAACGGATGATTTCAGAATGGATCATTCTTTGAGTCGCGACTTGGAAAGTCTGAAAGCTGGGCGTCGACCAATGGACCCTCATAACTGATATAATTACTCCTAAGTGGATGTTTAACTAGAAATAAATTAAAGGCGCCAAAGATGCCAAAGATTGAAAAACGTTGGATGATCTTATGTAATATTATATGTATATATACACATATGTGACAAGCTCCAAAAACAAGCTCTGAAGACTGCAGTCGAAGTCGGATGATCTTACTGGAATGGCTTGCGGTTCATTCAGCGGAAAAAAGTGTGAACTCGACCAGGTTTCAATTCGCTTCCCATCCTTCCCATCCTTCCCATCCTCACCCATTCACGACGCTACTTGCCTCCCGCTTCAACCTCATCGCTAGTTTCATTGGATTTATCAAACACGTACAGCTACTTCCTGATGTACTACAGTATATAAATGTATATAATACTATCCTTTGGATAATGTGCCGTGGCATGAAATTCTCTCGATTTCCACAGCAAAAAAAAACATGGCATCGTCGGCAATGAAGCGCTCGCGATTTGTGAACCCAATTCTCTTGATGTGCACCACCCAGCCTGAAAAGACCGCCACTAATCTCTCTGGGTTCAATACGGTGATCTAACTTCACTGCTCACCTTTCAAGACAGTGTGTATGTATATATATATATTGTTCTTGAATATTGTTCTTGAATATACAATGTGATACTTCATGTGTATATACATACACAATCTACTATCTAATACTATCAAACTATCAAACTATCAAACTATCTATCTATCTATCTATCTATCTATCTATCTAATCTAATCTAATCTAATCTATCCTATCCTATCCTATCCTATCCTATCCATCTATCTATCTGACTATCTGACTGTTACAGAATTATATATTGTATAGATGTATGATATGTATAACAATTATAGCTGTAGATTAATGTATAGATGTATGATATAATATAACTAATATCTATCATATCATATGTATAACTTATAACAATTATAATATTATCTATTTACATATATATATATATAAATAGTATTATTATCATTATTATTACTATTATTAATATTATTATATAACAAATTATGTCACTATAAATGGTTTCCTTTGGAAAAAGGCGCCTGCGGCAAGCCGTCCAAGGCCGCTTGCACGGGACTCTTGGACAAGCTACGGGAGCTCGAACTTGGCGGAGCACGAACGGAACGGAACGGAACGGCGGGGTTGGGGGAGTTCACAGTCGAAAAAATGGTGGAAAAATGGTGGGATTTCCTTAGGAAAAAGTAGCAGAAAAAATAAGGATTTCTATACTTGATCTTATCTGATTTATAGCTGGCTGGTTTTATAACGAGCTAAATTCTATGGCTTATGGTAGATGAGATGTATCTATCTATAGATAATGGGGTGTGAAAGCCCCAACTTACATTTTTATGGGGGTGCACCGCCTTCTACCGTTGGATTACACCACATATGCATGGCCATGTTGGTTTTGAGGAGGAAAGGATCAACTATGAATGATGCGGTCGGTAGGGGGGTTCCATGTTCCATTGACCATCTTGGAGTGCCAAATGGGATACGTTCGTTAAGGCAATCCTTTGACGAACGTCAAAACTTCTGCTGAAGATTTCAGAAACGTACAATTCTGGCTGAATTTGGTAGTTCACAAGCCTGAAAATATCTGACATATAAACCAGAGTTCGAGTGACGTCACAACGTGAGGTCACTCTTTATTCAATCCAGATATATCACCATTATATCCAATTAAATCAACATTTTACCACATTGTTTGTTGTTTAGTCCCCAGTTTTATTTTTGTTGCGTACTGTAAACCCCAGATTGATCACCATCACTAGAATGGACTGCCCGCCCAGACAGAGTCTTAGTGTTGCAGGAGGGCTCGCTATGTAGGTATATCTACCATAAATTCCAATTAGCCCAGTTGCAAACCAACTTAGCTCTCAAGAATCAGATACCATCTGGTTATTTAACATAGCCATGGAAAATCCTGAAAATCCCTTATAAATGGAGGTTTTAATGGGAAAATCATCTATAAATGGGCCATCTATACCATGGCTATTTTAAATAACCAGAGGGTAAATCAAAATCCCAATTGTTGGTGGTTAAATCCTAAATGTCCAGAGATGTCTGCAGGCCTGCTCTTCCTTCTTCGCTTGCGTGACTTCGACTTCTTCTTCCTCGGCTGGAACCCAGCGCAGATCTCAAAAGCCCATTGGAAGCACTAATATGTTGGCAGGTTTTCCAAGCACACAGAAGAAGGGATAGTTACCAACATAGTTAGATCATAGATACAGTGTGTAAGTATATATCATATAGAATCATATATCAGCTGACAGCTGTATCATATATCAGCCTTAACTACTGGTGTTTGGTATGATACAGTAGTTACCAAATTTTGGCCGATGTCTCACTGTTTTCCGAAAACACTTGCATGTGCGGGACCTGGCAATCTGTCGCCGGTTTCTAGCCCATGTAAATACGTTACATAACGGTAAATGTACCATGCTAAACTGGGGATGTGCCCATATATACTCTCTGGTAATTTAACATAGCTATTGAAAATCACCATTTATAGTGAATTTTCCCATGAAAAATTGTGATTTTCCATAGTTATGTTAAATTACCAGAGGGTACATATAATATCATATCATCCATATGTAACCCATGAAACCAGCTTGGAGTGATGTCACTCACCTCACCCGTCTCTCGGTGCAGTTCAAGTGTCTTGTTCCTGGGCGCTGGGACCCCAAGCTATTATCCAAGGTTAAAACCAATGGTCATGTGTCATGGGAAACCAATGGTTTCACTTATGGGGTAGCTCGATTTTGAGAAATCTCCTTGTCGAAAAAGCATGGCATTTTGTGGCAAAGGGTACAGCACGTCCATTTCAGATAGCTGAAAGACCAATCATTTTGGGATTGTTCATGGTTGCCGGTGTTGTTCAGTTATGGTGGTGGCTCTTCGTGAACATCCCAACTTATTATATATATATATATATTTCTTTATTTATTTATTTATATCATATACTACATATCTATTTAAGTAGCTCAAAATAGGTCCGCAATCGAGTAGTCATTTCAGCTGAAATGACGGAGTACCATTTCAGCTGGGGATTTCATCGGTTTCATGCCATGAGACTTATGGAAAATGGAAAGAGCATGGTCAGCTATCGTGACTCCATTCATTCCAGTGGCAAGAAGAGAATCGTGTTTGGTTTGCATTGTGCATTCTTGCATTATATAAACATCAATTGTTCTTTGGGGAGAATCCATGGCTGGAAGTCTCTGCTTCATACTTTTGACCAAAGTCCCAGTGATTTGAGATTTTTTCTGATGTGGGGTTGCATCAACCAGAATACCTTGAAAACGACTTTGTTTGGAGTGTGTTTTTTTTTCACCCAATTCAACTTATTCTCATGTTGTCTGCCTGTTGTCACCGTCACCGTCACCGTCATCATCATCATCATCATCAACAACAACAACAACAGCAACGGCAAGAATTTCTGTTCAGGTTTGTTCATGGGGTTTTGTTCTCAACTAGGAACACTGCTTGAGCATTCCAAGCCACTTCTTTCGACTTCGGCTTCTTTTCTTCAGCCTGGCTACAGCAAGAAAGCGATGTAGTTGGAGATGAGGATATTCAGGCTTTTCCAGGTGTATTTCCGATTGTGGGTCAAGATTGGCAAGAAATCACAGCAATACAGATTCTTCAAAGCTATGGAAGTGGATGATTTTCCATGGGTATTGCCAATCATACCAGGTATTTGTAGTATTTAAGTACCAGTGTCCCATGAATACGAAAAAAATACCTGGAAAATACCATTGAGGTATTTTTCCATATTTTTCCATCAGAGAAGCCGGTTCCATCCAACAAATCCAGCGAGTTCGCCGTTTCGAAAAAAATCCAACGCCTTCCAGCTCCGTCGATGTCCGGCAGTGCAGGTGCTGAGCAGAAACAAAAAGGACAACCCACCCTGGAAAGGTTTTTATCGCAGCCCTGCCATGGTACTGAAATAGATTAGAATGATTAGATCTTTGGGGATATAGATGATATCAACTATATATAAATGATTATTAATAGATGAATACAGTAATGATAAATGATATATATATATATATCCCTAAGACTGACATCATCTCTGAAACCAGTTTCTAGATGTTTTAGGATCCTCTACGTTAGATTTCAGGGGATTATTGGCAGATTGGAGTCTTCATGATAGGGTCCTGGGAGCTCAAAATCACTAACCGTTGCTGGTTGGTTGCAGTTCCAAGACAAATGAATCAACGCGGCCTAAAAAGATTCATGAAACCACCAGATTGCTTCATTGACTGGGAAAAAACAAGAAAAACGTCCTTACTATATCTGGAAAAAATAGAATCGTTCATAAACCTGACATGTTTCATAACTGTTGGGATGAATTCCCCTTCCTGAAATGATATGGGACTTTGCCAGTGAGGTCATGAATCAGTGCCCAAATCAATCATATCGTCAGTTCTTCAACTCTTGTCCCTGCCAGTACCCCCCCAGACTTTTCCATATTTTTCGCTCTCAGAACTTCCAGTTTCGCCCAGGCACCGTCCAATTTCTCTTGCTTGATGCCCTTCTCAGTCTTCACCTGATGAAAAATCGTCACCGGCGGCAGATGCCACTGGTTGTTTTGGTTTGTTTTGTGGGTATCACCCATGACCAACAATCAGTGGCTGATGGCTTATCTTGGCAATTTGAAACTAGAACTAGTCTGATCCGTTCCCTTAATCTGAAACTTCTTCTCATGTTGATAATAAAAATAATGATTGTCTGCGTCTGCGGTCGCGTCGGTAGGGTCCGATCCATCGATTGTAGGGTCTCCGCAGGAAATCCTTGTGGTCCAGCGCATGATCTATTCGAAGCAATACCACTACTTTCATCTTTCATGCAATCACTCTTGATCAGCACATTTGCAGGAATCCTGGATCAAAAACAAGAAAGCATTGTTGAAAGCAACATTAATTGGGCCAAAACGCAGAAACCATTCGCAACACAAAAAACATTTGGGAAGCACCTGTTAGCCACTGTTGATCATGGCTTCCCAAATGACCCACACAACAAGGCTGGCCGCCCCGCGGCCAAATCTAGTGCCTCGCTCTTGATCAACTCAGACTTCACTTCCGATTTCACCTGCTGGTCGCTTCAGGTGGCCATGAAATTTCGAGGTTTCTGCGTCACCAAGTTCATTTGGAATGGCGATCATAGGTCATTCTACACATCGCCAATGACATGAGGCTTTGGGAAAGACCCATTGGATTTCGGATGTGATGGGACCAACTAGTAGTGAGTCAAATGTGTGGATAAAAAAGGATAGGTGGTCTATGTGAGTTGTTTTGTTCACCAAGCTGAAATAAGATGATTTTGGGGGTTCACCCAATCCTAACCATCATCTATGCTGTGATCCCGGATAAGCTCCGTGCCATCTTGGCCATATCCTACCGTTTGCATATGGTCGAACACCCGTTTGCACCCAAACAGAACATGACAAAAATACTCATCAACAGAATGGAATTCAACGGCCGGTTCACCTTTTCATGTGTTTGGGACAATCTGGGTTTTGAGGGTTTTGACCCCAGACTCCAGTACCTTAGCATGGAAAATCCGTCAAAAAATGTATATGGATCTTCTCTGCTTCCGAGTGGCACCCTCCTTCTTCACACCTTCAGGTTTCACCTGATGCCGGTGCTTTGACGGATTGGCTGCCTCATCTTAAGATTAATGATTCGAAAGAAGAAAAGGTAAGAAAGTATGAAAGCCATTTGTCGCTCAGGCCTTTTGGATCGCCATCGGTGGACATCCAATGTATCCCCATCATTGGCAGTTGCCCATATCTTAGTTGGTCGGAGTTGTTCCGCATGGTTTCCAAGCTCCCAAAAAACGACTTGCCGAGCCTTGGGTGCCAGGGCATTCCTCAGGCAAAGGAAGGTGGGAAGACAGCCATTTCGTCCATGGATTTGGACCCCCATGTTTATCAACTATCCAACTTCGTGCTTGGCCCCTGCACGTCTGTTATGGTTTAGATCCCCATTTGTGCTGGTTGAATCCACATTTTTGTTGGGCGTAGAACTGATTGAAACTTGTCACAGCAGCTAAAACACACATCTTTTGCAGCTTGGACTTCGTTGGGCGTCCATGGCCACCATGGCCCATGAGTTTTGAATGTTTTGAGTCTTCCATCGAAAGATGCCACCAAGAATCTTCAAGATCTTATCCAGCAAGTTATCAGCCTCACCTGGAAGGCCACGACACGCCCCACCCATGTCTGAAGATGATGAGGCTATGTATATCTGGTTGGTGGTTGAGCCACCCTTCTGAAAAATATGAGTTTGTCAATGGGAAGGATGACATCCCATATTATGAAATGGAAAATATGAAATATTTGAAACCACCAACCAGATATATATATATACACATCTAAATCACATCCCTTGATTTCCTTTTGTTTTTTTTTTCGGATATCTGTCCTGTTTTGTTCAAGGGGGTTGGAGTTGGGGTTGCCTATGGCTCAATTTTTCAATTTTCGGGTACCATTTTTGTTCCCAAGACATGGCTCATTTCTAGAAACCGAAACAATCTGAAACTTTTATTGGGGGGTCGATGATTTTTGCAGCCATGGCGTGAAAGTAGAGTACCTGAAAATGCCATGGTTTACCCTGATTTTTTCCCCATTCAAAGACGCCGTTTTTGGTGCACCCCCTGCCTGGCACTGCCGCAGTTTCCAAACTCAAGTCTCCCACTTTGCCTCAGATCCGGGCCGGATCGGCTATTGGAAACGTTTCAAGAAAACCTGGACATGTGAGGTAAATAATGGTAAATACATATCTATGATAATCTAGCTATAGCTATATACAGTCTATGATAATTTACCATAATCTACTGGAAACATTTGGTATATTATCATACATATCTAGTGTAAACATATACATATCATAATCTACTGGAAACATTTAATCTACTGGAAACGTTTGAGAAAGTGGATTATGGTAAATTATGGTAAATATTCTAATAGAGATAGTCACCATAATCACCATAATCTTCTGCTATCTTTTGGTGGACCCAAAGTCTGCGCGAAACTTCGCCCCGGCACCGTCTGCGCCATCGCCGTTCGCCTCCGCCTCCGTCATGGCCGGGCCGTGAAACACCGGAGCCGGGCGGCACCCAAAACCGCAGCTGCGAGCCAGGCCGAGGAACAGGACTGCCCCTTGGTTTTAAGATATGTCTTTTTTAATGGGAAATATGTGGAATATATACTGTGTATAATTCTGTACATATGGAAAATAAATGGATCTCCAATGTACATAGTGATGATGAGAAAGAAAATTGGAAAAATAAACCCAGGTATCCCAACAGCAAGGATGGTATGATGTGACAGCAACCAATGAACGCAACGTCCCGAACTCATCAGCCAGTGGTTCAATCAGTTGGATCATGGAACGTCCTTCACCACCAACACTGACAATCTGCTGTTCAAAATGCAGCACCAAGCAAGTATCCCTTGGGATTAATTCATGGGTTTGTCTGAAATTGGGTACCCCAACGTGTGTTGGGCTATCATCATGTCTTCCTGTCGCAATCCACTTTGGGATGTGTAGATATATGAAAATGTACATATACGTACATATACGTACATATACGTACATATACGTACATATACATACATACATACATACATACATACATACATACATACATACATACATACATACATACATACATACATCATACATACATACATACATACATACATACATACATACATACATACATACATACATACATACATACATACATACATACATACATACATACATACATACATACATACATACATACATACATACATACATACATACATACATTACATACATTACATACATTACATACATTACATACAATACATACATTACATACATTACATACATTACATACATTCCATACATTCCATACATTACATACATTACATACATTACATACATTACATACATTACATACATTACATACATTACATACATTACATTCATTACATACATTACATACATTACATACATTACATACATTACATACATTACATACATTACATACATTACATACATTACATACATTACATACATTACATACATTACATACATTACATACATTACATACATTACATACCTTACATACCTTACATACATTACATACATTACATACATTACATACATTACATACATTACATACATTCCATACATTCCATACATTCCATACATTCCATACATTCCATACATTCCATACATACCATACATACCATACATACCATACATACCATACATACCATACATACATTACATACATTACATACATTACATACATTACATACATTACATACATTACATACATTACATACATTACATACATTACATACATTACATACATTACATAACATTACATAACATTACATAACATTACATAACATTACATAACATTACATAACATTACATACATTACATACATTACATACATTACATACATTACATACATTACATACATTACATACATTACATACATTACATACATTACATACATTACATACATTACATACATTACATACATTACATACATTACATACATTACATACATTAAATACATTACATACATTACATACATTACATACATTACATACATTACATACATTACATACATTACATACATTACATACATTACATACATTACATACGTTACATACATTACATACATTACATACATTACATACATTACATACATTACATACATTACATACATTACATACATTGCATACATTGCATACATTACATACATTACATACATTACATACATTACATACATTACATACATTACATACATTACATACATTACATACATTACATTACATTACATACATTACATACATTACATACATTACATACATTACCTACATTACCTACATTACCTACATTACCTACATTACCTACATTACCTACATTACCTACATTACCTACATTACCTACATTACCTACATTACCTACATTACATACATTACATACATTACATACATTACATACATTACATACATTACATACATTACATACATTACATACATTACATACATTACATACATTAATACATTACATACATTACATACATTACATACATTACATACATTACATACATTACATACATTACATACATTACAAACATTACATACATTACATACATTACAAACATTACATACATTACATACATTACATACATTACATACATTACATACATTACATACATTACATACATTACATACATTACATACATTACATAAATTACATACATTACATACATTACATACATTACATACATTACATACATTACATACATTACATACATTACATACATTACATACATTCATACATTACATACATTACATACATTACATACATTACATACATTACATACATTACATACATTACATACATTACATACATTACATACATTACATACATTACAAACATTACATGCATTACATACATTACATACATTACATACATTACATACATTACATACATTACATACATTACATACATTACATACATACATACATACATACATACACACATACACACATACACACATACACACATACACACATACATACATACATACATACATACATATATATATACACGTTAGTTATTTATATATAGCACACCCAATTTGAATCGATTTGAGACAAACCCACATCCTTCAACCCATCTGCGCAGCACGGCCCCTTTTGTTTGCTGTCACACGCCGCATGTCTGTTGTGGGGAGTCGCAAATGAAGCCTGGCTGTTAGGATTCAGGAGTGAAACAGACCAACAGCAAGAGCAGGGGAAAATTTACAAAGCATGGCTTGTTCCAAATTTTAGTGGGGTCTTGTAGATTTTCCCAGCAATTCTGGGAATATGGTGTTGTTTATTCACAGTATGGGGGCGGTCTTGCAAGTGTTCCCTTAAAAGCACATCTTTGAAAACCACTTCATCCATTCGCCCATGGCTTTTGATCTGAACCAAAAAAGGTCATTTTTGGAGCTCCCATGTCGCCATTCATTTCACATCTGGGCCAAAGCATCACGTCTTCATATCAAACTAAATACAAAAACTCCATTTCGGCCCCTTTGGCCCTTTGCTCAACTGAATCCATACCAATCATACCATACCTATCTCACTGGGTAGCTTTGGCAACAGCTTCGTGTTGCGCCTCGAACTGCTTCGCCGCGTTGCTCACAACGCGGAGGCTTCCCGTTGTCGGTGACGACGGATCTGTCGCACCTCGATGAAGTTTCTCCAAGTTTCTTCAGACAGAAATCTGTGAAGAAAAGGCATTACCCTCTGGTAAATTAACAGTTGGACCCTGGCAGTTGTCGGGTTTGGAAGACTAGTGAAACCACTATAAATTGGTCATTTTCAGGGTCTATGTTAATTTACCAGAGGGTAAGACATTGAAATCATTCGAAATCTATTGATATATATTATTTCTCATATTTCCACTTATTCAGACATGGGTCAAAATCGGGCACCCCAATACTCAGATGGAGCAGATTAGTTGATTTTCGAAACATGGCCACCCCAATAAACTGTGGTCAGGTCATAGTGGTATCTCAGAAACTCTGTGATTCATAATGGAATATCATACCCTCTGGTAATGACTAACAGTTTGCTATTGAAAATGACCATTGAAATAGTGGATTTTCCCATTGAAACTGGGGATTTTCCATGGTAGTAGTTATGTTAGTTTACCCGAGGGTAGTGGAAAATCCCAACCTGAACAAAAAAAACGGATAGAAAACTGGCTAAACCTTAGATACACCCGCCCGCAAGAAACCAAGAGTAGATCAGGCCTGGTCGGATATCACCTGAAGAAACTGGAATTTGTCAGATGTTCTACTAGTGTCATAGTTGGTGAGAATTCCTTGAGCTGAATATGTTCAATTGGTGCATTGAAAAGAGCGCGTGCGCACGTTCTAACCGAGATCTGTTTGACAATTTCGGTCCACACGAAGGTGGGAAAGCAAATGCCATAAACAAACAACTATACCCTCTAGTGAACCAACATAACTACGGAAAATCACCATGTTTAATGGGTAAATCATTTACAAAATGGCCATGTTCAATAGCAAACTGTTAGTCATTACCAGAGGGTAATCACCATTTGGGGATGACTAGAATCCCACCGATTTTGTGATTTTTTTGATGGAAAACCCCCAATAAACAGAATAAGCTAAACTGGGGGATGACACCCTCAAAGTGAAACTGGAACTTAACTTTTGGGTTCCATGTTCGATGTCATCATAATTCTGTGTGATATCATATATCCCAAGTGTTGGTGATTCAATCCCCATTTTAAGTGGCTGCTTTTTTCCGATCCTCCACTCTAAAAATGGGTGGTGTCAATCCATGCCAAAACATCCCAACACTAAAAGTTATTGGGGTCATCATCCCATTGGAAATAGTTGAAAATAAGAATCATGTTTGAAACCACCACTGGCCCATCCATCTACATGTCTTATCGGTCCTATCGCTATGTGTTGATGCTTCCGAATAATCCACATTAAAATCCAAACCAGGTTAAAGGCCATGCTGGGAATAATTCCCTTCGCATTCACATGCATTCACCATCATTTATGATGAAGTGGTTGATTTCCTCTTTTTATCTGGTTAAACCGCCATATTCAGTGGAAAAAGACATGGTTTCATGGAGATGCTTCCGTGGTGGTTGGTGACGTCCCCTTACGCAGGACGACCATGTAAACTGGGTGCTTTTCATGGCTAAGTCCCCATCTAAACTGAGTGCTGAATGGCACAATCCGCATTCTTCCCTCAAAAAAAAAAACAAATCTATATACTGGCAGCAACTTTCCATCATATCAAATCCCATCAAATCCCAATTCTTCATCAATTTTCATGAGATCCCCATGATCTTTCCAATTACCATCTGGTTATTTAACATAGCGAAGTGGAAAATTTCAACCATAAATGGAGGTTTCGTTCGCTGGGAAAATCATCTATTTCTATGGGACATGGCTTCCATGGCTATGTTAGTCATAACCAGAGGGTAAAAAAAACTGCTGAAGCTCGCCCTTTCGTCCAAGTGGCCAGGGCCAAGTCTTTGGCCTCGCAGTGTCCAAAAGGCCAGCGAAGAAAGCTGGTGAATACAACAAACCTAATATATTAAGCTGGTTAATTAGTTCTAACTTAGCTAACAAGCCGTTATTCTATGTTATTCTTACATCAAAAAAATGATAAGTTACATGGCAAAACATAGTTAAATCTGTTGAAACATACAGTATGTTATATAACTAAATATGTTGAAATGGCCAGAATAGCTAGGTTCTGTTAACATCAATGTAATAGCTATGATTAGTTTTTTTTTCACTAGCGTATTGCCTGTGGTTATTTTTCACAGTTCATAATGAATCATAGGCATAAACGTTCATGTGGTATAAACGTTTATAGCTACTTTAAGATGTTCAAGTTTTGGGTGATGGGTCCGGCTTGCCAACATGCTGGCAGGCTGGCAAGTTATAACTGTAAGCTACCCTCTGGTTATGACTAACAGAAAGCTATGGCAGCCATGGCCCATTTACAGATGATATCCCCAGCTAGAAACCTCCATTTATAATGGATTTTCCATAGCTATGTTAAATAACCAGATGATAAATGGTGTATGATGATGATTTGCCTACTAAAAATGGTGATGTTCCATAGCGAACTGGTAAATCAGCAAAAGGGTGGATAAATATTCCCTCAAACAAATCCACTACTGGTGATGTTCACTCACAAAAAGGATGTTTCAACTAACAAACGAAGGGACTTTAACAAACGAAAAATTGTGATTTGAGCAGAGCAATGTGTGTTTTGTCAGGACATAATTTGGAACCCACAAAAAATAGGGAAATGGTCTCACGTGTAACCGTCAAAACATGCAGCCGGAAGATCACTTATATGCCAATGATGAATGGTGAATACATGCTTTACATTCCTATGTTGGTGGGAAATCAAAAGATGAAATGGGGGATCGCTGATACCAGCAGCAAACAAGCATGAAGCAGCTAGAGATTGACCTCAATACAAAGATATCTATATGTCATCTATGGCCATGCATCTTGCAGCATTTAAGCCAAATCAGTATACTACCTCTATCATCCTCTATCACCATATGGCCCGAACACCTCAACCATCATCCGAGGATCACTCGCCTATAGGACAGTTGGTCACTCCCCAATCGAAAAGGTGGTTTTTTACCCCCCAGTTTCAGACGGAGAGAACATGGCACATCGCCATGTTCACTGCAGAAAAACCCCATCTTTTCCCTGCTGAAAAACCACTTTTGGTGGTAAATTCCCCCATTTTTTGCCGGTGAAATTCCCCACTTTGTGCCTGCAGAAGGGCTGGTTCAGCGTTGTTCGGCTCATCTTCAAGCGGCTCGGCGTTGTGCACTTCTTCTGGAGGGGCCAGTGTCAGGGGTTGGTGATGTAGGCTGGATTGTATGGTGATTACTAGGTGTGATGGGATATAACCAGAAAAATGCAGATATAACATAACCGGATATACAACCAACAATGTGATTCTTGGGTCTGTCTGAGATATGGATTTACCCCCAGTATATGGCCATTTCAATGGGGAGGATGAGGGTTAACAGTTAACCATTGGATTTTTTTGGGTGTACTGTATACCCCATGCTTGAGCAAACCCATTTGAAACAACAACACTTGAGATCCCTTGAGGATCTATGAGGAGTGTTCAATGATTTCGTTCCAAGAAAAAATGATGATAAAACCAAGAGAAGCGTTGCGAACATTCAACCGGGGATTAAACCAAAAAAGGAAACTATCCCTGAAAATCTGGTAATGCAATCAACAAAAACGCTGTTAAATGAGGATTTCAACAGAACCAAGGGATCTCAACACAGCCCAATCCCAAGACACCAGTGATGAATTGCATCCCAGGAAATCCCATGGCAATGGACAACGACCCATTTGGTAACCAATGGTTTGCTTGCAGAAAATGCTGGCAATTCCAAGTGCGACAATCCGACAATCCGGATGGCAAAATCCTTAAAACCCCACCCGCAAGTATCACTCGCCACAATTGAAAAAGTTAGTAAATTGAAAAGACTCACAAAAAAGTTACATAAGTTACATAAGTTAGTCATTTAGTACTGTGGTAATATGTAACTTGACTCAAGTTAGTTGTTTCTGACTTTTGCCACGAAAATCCCAAGGACTTAGAAATCCACCACCAGAAATCCACATCAAAGCGTCAATTCTGGGGGATAATCCTTAAATCCGCCAGTGACCAATAATTACCTGGAAATCCTGGAGCTAATTATTCGAATATATCTTAATATATCTTAATCACTAAAAAGTAGACTTACCAGGCAATTATATTGACCAACTAAATTAGTGTTTGAAATATTCTAATGTGATAAACCGACCCAATGCCATACACCATCCCCAAGTCACCATTTTTATGAGTGGGATTCTAACCATCCAAAAAAAAATGCTAGTTGTTTAGTTAAGGCACTCCGTTGCCAACATGATGCACGGAAAAATGGCTCAATGGACTGACCAAAAAAAATCATCCATGATTTCACAAGTTTCATCCAGTCAAACAGAAGATTTCAGTGTCCACCACTTTCACCCAGCTTTCACCCAAAAAAAAAACCAGCAAACCGCCAGTTTTCCCCAAATCCATGGAGTGGTCTTCCCCAAAAAAACGGAAGCCGCACCTTCGTCCTTGGGTTCCACGTTCACCTCTTCCGTGGCTTCCGGCACGGCTTCCGGCACCTCCGTGGGCTCCGGCGCCTCCGGCTCGGTCTCGACAGACTCGGCTGGCTTGGGCTCCTTGGGCTGGCCAGGGTCCTGTTGAGGGTTGAAAAAAGGTGAACTTTGGTGGAGCTGGGCTTGTGAAAGAAAATGGATGAAAAGCCCAATGATTGACCCAGAATTTCTTTGGAACCATTGAAGAATTGAAATCCAACCAGCTCGAATCACCCCATGGAATTGCCACAGCTTTGGGATGGTGATTTCCTACATCCAGCTGTCAATCCAGCTCCCCGGCCTCAACGGGAGTTTCGCTGGCCGGCACAGTCTCACCCTTGGTTGGGAAGTTCTGCCTGCACACCACAAAAGCCGAACCTCTCAGGTCCTGAAAAAAATGGGTTGGAGAATATGTAGTTCTGGGGTGTAACTATGGGATATATGGGACGGGATAACAAAATGAGATATCAGCAATGGGATATACAACCAAGATCAACCAAGAATGTGATCTTTGGAAGAATTGGATATATTTTTGTTTGATGGTGTATACCCATTTTTAAGAATTCAAAAGTCATTCAAAAGCTATATATTTCATATAAGTTAATGAGGAAAATGATGATCAACCTATGCCTCGCTGATGGCGTGATTCGAGTTGAATCCACATCTTGGTTCCATCATCGTGACCCGAAAGCTCTGTGTACCAAGTGCGACCGGGCTAGATTGGTTTGCACCCCAATTACTCAATACTTACCATCTGGTTATTTAACATAGCCATGGAAGCCATGGCCCATAGAAATAGATGGTTTACCATGGTTTACCTATTAAAAATGGTGATTTTCCATGATTTTCCATAGGTCTGTTAGTCATAACCAGGGTACTCAAAGTATTTCCAAACGCTTCAGGGGATCTTCAGGGATCATTTCACCGGGCTTTTGTCGCGGCGCCTCTCAACTCCCAGATGCTTCCAAAGACCAACTGGGCAGAGGATGGGAGTTCAACCATTTTTTTAATAGGTAAACCATGGTTTTTCCATTTTTCTATTTGATAACAGACCTATTAAGACTTGGGCTCAAGCAATGGTCTGTTATCAAGTCTGGTCTGTTATCAGATGGGCAGAAACAAACAATAACGTCAGGATTATATCAGTAACTGATTGCGGGTTTACCTGAAAAGCAATCGAACCAGGCCAGGCTGAATTACCGGATGGCAGCCAAGGGTGTGTTAGTAGAAACTAACAGTTGACATAAAAAGGTGAAACCCGATGTCTCCAGAAGAAAAGATGCATATGATATATTTAAAAATATGTGTGTACAATTGCATAATACATACATTACAATACATATATATATATATATAGAGAGAGGGAGAGATACATATAGATATGTACATATATATATATGTACATATATATATCATACATTAAGTAGGTGGATGCATCAACTTCCGGATCAGGGAACCGCTGAGAGTTCTATGATCTACGGGGCCTCAGAATTGCCAAATACGGGGAGTTTAGGTGACCAGATCTCGGCCGAAATTGTCAGATGGACACATCCTGATCAGATCCTCTTTTTCAACGTCCGGAAAAGCTTCCAGATGCTTCTTGGCACCCCTAGAAAAGCCTTTGGTACCAATTTATCTATGGGTCAAAAACCATGGTGGACACCAAAATAGCTTTGGATGTTCTTGCCCCCCTTCCATCCCAATTCCTTCAATCACCTTCCAGTTACAAATCACAAGAAATGGAGTTGCAATCCCCTCCTTGACATTGCAACCTCCTTACAAGTTGGCCCAGACTTATCTTCAATCACTTCATGCCCTTTGGCCACAACATGCCCAGACACCACCGCAGTGTTCGTTGAGTTTCTCCTGGGTTCAAGTGTGTCAAACAAAAAAAAAATGGAAAGGTAGCTCGGCCGAGGTGATTGAGAATATATAATATCTCAGAGTAATCATGACCCATTGTATGAACATATTTCAACAGGTACAGTATACGGGCTTTCCGGCTGAAATGTGGAGCCCAAAACTCAACCTGCCCTGCAAGCTGCAGGCCCAAGGGTTTTTCCCATGTGGAAGTTGTATTTGTTTGGGGATTCATATAATTTTTGCTGCTACGGCCCCCATGAATCAACATTGAAAATCATTGAAAGTCAGAAACAAGTGAGTTTGGAAGCTCATGTCAATCTTAAGCCTTTTCCATACCATGGCAAAGAATACAGAACTGGTTCGGTGCAGCAAAGGATACTCCATTTATAGCATCCAACAACTGCCCCTGGGGCCTGGATCCTCTGAAAATTGCCCTTTTCTGGGCTCAGTTATGGCCATAGTTTAATTCGGAAAATGATACCCTCTGGTAATGACTAACATAACTATGGAAAATTTACTAAAATTACCATTTATAGTGAATTCTCCCATGAAAAAAATGGTGATTTTCCATAGTTATGTAAACGTTTACCAGAGGGTAATAAGCCAACGGAATTGGGGACATCCGATGCTGGGAGATTCCATTTGACAGGAAAACCATTCGCCAAGCGTCGACGCTGCCGCTCTTCTTCCATTCTTCCTCCAATTCCTGTGGTTCATCAGACGACTCGTCGTAAGCTACAAAGATCTGGATATGGGGATGTTATATGGGAATATAGTTACCCTAGGGTAAACATACAAACATACAAAAGGAATCAAAAAGATACGGAAAACCCATAGTTTTCCCAGGAAAATGGTCTACAAATGGTTGATTTTCCGTCCATGAGTGATTTCACTGTCTCATAGCACAGCCCATCAGATCTTGATACAGCTCAAGCACTGTATAAGAATGCACTGTGTAAGAATTTGAGAGGCTCCGCTCCAATCCCAACTACATCCTGGGAATATATCAAAACCCTAAAGAATTTGAGGGACCCTAATATAGAACAACTACATTCTTAACTTATTAATAGCCCGGGCTACTACGCTGCAGAATGGCGCCACCGGCCATGGAAGTTGGTTCAACCAAAATTACCCAAATCGACCTGGAGAAGAGCCTGAATTTTCCTCCAAAAATCAAATCATCCCCGATATTGAGGGATGAAGCATGATCAACTGATCAACCAAGCATCCAACAACCCTTCTGGGTGGTGTTCCAAAATCCCCAAAAGTCTGAAATCTGAAATCGGGACCCAGGGTTGTTTGTTCATTCCATGTTCCCCATGGCATGAATCCTGTAAAATCCCCATTTCAGCTGCCTAACTCCCCCTGATGTTTCTTAAATCGCCCTCCGAAATCCCAAAAACACATAGTAAACAAAGCTCATCAGCTTGGACGTCAAGAATTTTTCAGTCTCCATTTGACTTCGTCGGCCCAAAATCCATTTTTTCACCGCCTCTTCAGGGTCGCATTGCAGCAACCATGCTGCTTGGGCGTTCTCCTGGGCGGTGAAAAAGTCATGGTTTGGAAAAACCGGCGGGGAAGGCAGAGAGAGAGAGAGAGAGAGTCACATCAATATGTGCACATATTATATATGTCTAGTAGTAGGATATATGCCAAAATAGTGGTATAAATCACTTTTCCACCAACAGTTTCATGTTTTTTTCCCGTATTTGGAGCCCCCCACCGGGGCAAATATTGTCATTCTTGGCCTATTTCAAAGCTTGGACTAAGAGTTGGGTTTAATGGTAAATTCATGTGGTAAACCAGATGTCATAAACCATCCATCCCTAAGATCACGATTTTCATGGGCGGGATTCCAACCATCCGAAATGGTAGTTGTTTAATATGTTTAATGGCTTGCCCACATTAGGTGACATTAGATTCAACAAAAATATACCAACATTTCTGTTGATCCTTGGCAATTTACACCCAAAAAGACAGGTTACCTGTTCCCCTCCCCTGACACCGGCGAGGAGAGGCGGCTCGCGCCGAGGGACGTGGATTTCCCTGGTGCTCTCGGCCACCAAAGTGTAGATGTCCTTGTTCTCAAAGAACAGCCTCCGCGACGGCGGACAGCGTTGAGATACCGGGACTTTGGAAGATGGTTGAGATACCATTGGGAATTTTTATGGGGTACTTATGGCTAGGGATTTTCTAGATAAATGATCAATATACCTAGTCAATCTAGCTTTTGGAAGGTTAGAAGTCTTGTCTTGTGATTTTAACTTGGAATGGGGAGGCACTTTTTTACTGTCCACTTCCTAAAAACAGCAACGGAGCCTCTATGACCGAACAAGCGGGTCGTTCTATCTCACTCAGAACAAGCCAATGGATGCACCTGCATCACCTGGAGTTAAAAAAATGGTAGAAAGGGGAAAAATAGGACGGGGTATGTTAGTATATGTTACCCTCTGGTAATGACTAACATAGCTATTGAAAATGACCCATTTATAGTGGTTTTACCCATTAATAATGGTGATTTTCCATAGTTATGTTAAATTGCCAGAGGGTAGTATGTTGCTTGGGTGTTTTTCATGTTGGTGTCTAATGTGCGTCGGTGTTCGTGATTTTCGGTGAGCTTCTGGGACAGTTTTTGAGGGGAAACTGTCATTTGATGTGTTGCTTTAGATGATTTTCCCATGCACGGTTCCATTTACTTCGAGGATTTCCCAGCCATGGAGCTGATGACTGCCCATCTGTCTTGGCGCGGAGAACATTCTTACCATCGGAAACATGTTGGACATTGTCGGACACTCAAAGAAGTTCAGTCGATGAGATGTTTTCACGGATGGCAGCTGTTTTGTATCAAAGAGTAAGAGGTTTTCTATGGTTTTCTCGTGCTGCAAGTGGAATGTATGCACCAGGACATGGGAAGGTTTCCATTCCCTTACCTGGTCTAGACCATTCATCCCAAAGAGCCGAGATTGCGGCTTTGTTGCTGGCTGTCAAAACTTTCAGGGGCCCTATCCATTTCTTTTCAGATTGCACCATCGCCGTTAAAGGGTTTTTAATATTATATAAAGGAAACCGGCTTTTCAAGTTGCAACCTTCGATCTTGGGTCAATTTTACTTGTGGCAAGAAATAGCAAACTTTTGTAAAGAAAGGGTTTCTGTCGTTCACATTTCCAAGCTCGCAGCTCATGGCCGCAACCCCCACCAGGACCCCTATTTAACTGCGGGATACTGCGGGTACAGTAATCGGCTTGCAGATGAAGCAGCCCGTTCTTGTGCTGCCGATTCGTTTCGAACTTTCGCAGAACATTTCTTGCCAGCTATCCAGCAGGCCGTGTCCCTTCAGTCGCATCTCATACGATTTTTTGTTGAACAGGTGGGATTCTCCCCTCTTTGCGAAGACGAGTCGATGGAGCGCACTGATGTTTTTTCTTCGTCCTCCATTTCAACCCCCGTAAATCTTGGTAGGGTAGGCTGCACTTGCGTTCCTTCAACCCGTTTCTCAAAGAAGGGGCGGGTAACCTGCGCAGATTCATGTCCTTTTGCGTTGTCAGTCAGATCAAACGTGTCCGTGGAAAAATGTTTTTTGAATCTAGTCGACAAAAGAGAATGGATTCCTGAGAGGGTTTGGCTTTTGATTCAAGGTATAGATATCCTAACTGGCGAGGAGGACGTACTAAACCTTGCAATATCACCGATGTCGAATTGGACCGACAAAGTCGGCATATCTCAGAGAATACCAGGAGACTCGTTGTTCAGAGTGTCAATGAGTCTTCCTGGGGTCGTGGAACCGGAATGCTTGGATACACTCCTTGGGCCGTTTTCCTCATGTCATTGTCCAATTTGATTTCGTGCCGGGAGTTCTTTTTCCTGAGTTGGGTCTTGGTACCTTGGTTCAGCGTTTTCGCAAACTGTGGCTACAATTCCTACTTGTTGCCTTCCCCCGGGCTGGGCCAGAAACGGGGGCTGCGAAACATGCCGCACCATTCGACCTCAAAACCCTTAAAGCTTTCAACATGCACTTAAATACGCCTTTCAAGGTTCAGCTTTGGGCGGCCATGTTTCAAGCCTCCATGTTTTGCAATCGTCAATCTTTGGGCGGTTGCACGTCGCGAGCTCAGTGGGATGAGTCTTATTAGTCACCTGTAAGGACAATCAGCCAGGGGGGAAAAAAGAAAAACATGGAACAGCAGATGAACTTGTGTAATGGTCAAAAGGGTTGGTGTCACCTTGGGTTAGTTTGTCATCATGATGGTTCAATTTTGTTGTTTACCCCACTTTAAGTCGGGTTTGCCAGGGATACAGTCTTTTGACCCATACATTGATCCTCATCTCAGGGCCCGCCGTGGAATTTGTGGCATCATTTGAGTGATATTCACTTAGCCCTAAATCGGCCTTGTGTACCAAAACAGAACAAGAAACCTACAACATACCCAGTGCGTCCCCCTTTCCACCGGAAACAAACACGGAACCTGCGGAATTGTCCCACCATGAGATTGTAGCTCACCATGCTCTTCTTCACATTCTCATCCTGGCTTGGTCCGAGCCCGGTGGGCCGCTGGGCGGTGGCTTCAGATTGGTGGCTGCCATCAGCGGCGAACATGATTTGGGTTTCAAGTTAATAAACTTGACACCCGTGGTTACTTCCCATACATATATATATATACATATATATATAGAGATTATATATATATATACATATATATATATATACATATATATATATACATATAGAGATATATATGAATATGAGCCACGGACTTAATTTGATACATAACGCAATTGACAGGGTGTTCCTACCTCGTTCTCCAGTCCTGTAGCGTTTTTTGGGGTCTCACCTCGTTGTCCAACGCCGTACTTGTTTTTAGTAGCTAAATGCTTTACATGAGCTGCCTACCTCGTTCTTGTGGTGTGCCTACCTCGTTTTACAGCCTAATCATGATGTTTTCGGCAAACCAGGGTACGCCCCAATACTTCTCTCCATTTGACCAAATAAAAGCTGTCGCTCATATACATATTGCGTAGTCTTGTCCTCAAGAGTTGGTGGGCTTGCCTGAAAATCAATAGGGTCGTACTCCATGGGCGCCAAGATTGCTGGTTGAACATCATTTTCCTCATGAACAATGCCATCAACTGGGATGGTACATCAATCCCCCATTTTCAGATCAGCCCAAATTTATATCCAACTATATCCATATAGTGATTAAAAGGTATGAATATCCATGAATATCCCATAAATATAGTACAAATATCCCATCACTATCCCATTTACATGGCCATCGCCACCATCACCACAATCACTGCTGATATCACCATGGCAAAATGCCACCGTCCAAGTCCTCGCGCCTCGCGCATGAGATCCCAAGGCTTCTTGGTGGATTCTTCCTGCGGCCCCGATGGCGCCGATGGCCATGGCATGAAATCCATGGAACTTCGCCACGTCGCCATCTCCAAAGCATCTCCGGTTGCGGTGCTAGGTAGATCTAGGGAAATAGCATGAAATAGCTATAGTTGGAATATGGCAGATGGCTGTATAAACATGTAAAAACATATATAAACATGTATAAACCATAAAAACATTGCTGGGGGGCGGTCTATGACAGCGACAGGTCCCATAGGATGGGCCTCGCCACCAGTCAGCTTGGCCAGGGATGCCTTGCAGCGTGGTGATTTCAACAGCATTTTGCTGACGACGTGGAAGCGTTATGAACTGGGTATGTGGCCTACCTTTGGTCTTAAATCAATGGCCACGCAACAGGAACCGATTGATTGGAGGTACCTTCCATATATAAGGCCTATTTTTGAGGCCTATGTAAGGGAATATCCCCACAAAATATCGCCTTATATGGTACAGTACCTTCATTTTAGGATCCTGGAATTCCCTTTGGTCTTAGGTGATGTTTTGATGGTGATGCAGGTAAAGATGATTCTGATATTACTGATATTCATCTGGGAAAAGTAGAAAAGTCACAAAGCCTGGGTGGTTCACAAATTCGTTCCAGAAGTGATAGTAAGTTTGATAAGATAGGCTGTCAAGTCCCTGACATTGCATGGCATTACCACGCTTAAGTTCTGATCATGACTAGTAATCATTTACAATAATTACTATGGTAAACCCAATCATAACAAAATGATTAGTAGTAAAGATAGGTAATCATAAACTAAATCATAATCTAAATAAACTATATAACCACTTACCATGTTTACAGTAAATAGGTGGCCAAAGTCATCCCCAAATGGTAATTCTTTACGGCACCGGATGTCCCGGATCTTCTTCGGGGGTGCACCTTTCACTAATCGCAGCCCCAAGGAGAGAGACCTGGGGTTGCAGTTGGGGTTATTAAGTTCTTGGTATTAATGACTATGGGAATAACCTATATATATATATCATTATTATTATTACTATTATTATCATTATTATCATTATTATCATTATTGTCATTATTATCATTATTATCATTATTATCATTATTATCATTATTATCATTATTATCATTATTATAATTATTATCATTATCATTATTGTTGTCATTATTATCATGATCATTATTGCTGTCATTATTATTAATAGTATCATTATTATTATATATCATATATTATATATTCTGTATATATGTTCCATATAGGTTTGCATACATATACATATACATAAACATATACATATACACATACAAATACATATACATATACATATACATGTATGTATATATATATGTATAATATATACATATATTACCCCTGCAATATCACCACTTACAACTGGAACTGCACCCCCAAGTATCTCCATGTTGTTTCTGAAACTGACCTGTAGAAGTAAACAGTAAATTGAGTAAACTATTGAAATCTATAGTTGGTTTAATTTATAATAAATGTTAAAAGTTAATATTTGTATCTGTATCAATTTACTTATAATGGTCATTTTGACATATTGTTTAGATATTGTCCATGGTGATGAATATGTAAATATTCAAATCACGCTGGTTGTTGTTTATATAGTTGGGCTACTCTACTCCCTAATTTAAATTTGAATTGGAATTTAGTTGATGAGGCAATTTCTAAATGGACTGAGGTTGAGAGAGAGAGAGAGAGATCATCGGATTCAACCATTCAATTCTTTACCAAACAACAACTAAATTGGTCTAAATTGGAATTCCATGTGCTTTCCCTTCCAGAATATCTCAAAACATCAAGCAATTTTTCAAATTTTGACTTTGAGGTTGTATTTTGAGAACAGGAAGATATATATGTCGAAAGAGTTGAAATCGCAAATCCAGTCAGTGCTCCAACGGAGCACGTGGGTGGATTCTTGAGATACTCTGCGCCCTGAAAACCCCAGTTGTGAAGAAGTGAAAAGTGACCCCAAAAACGGGAAATTTCCAGGCCCGAGGCCTTATCCATTCGATGTGGTTCAATCAAGTAGTAACTGCCATCAAAAAAGCCTCATTCTATTGGTGACGTCGTAATCTCACCCAGATCATCTGGCATAAGGTATAGCAAAACGAGAGCAATGTGCAATTATGCTAAGATAGTGGTGAATTACTTGTTACATGTTGTTCCTTTTTGTTGGATTCTGTACATCCCAACCATGGATCCTAACTGGATCCAGCACCTGAAAAGCAACCGCACCTCCATGCTCTTGGTCATAAGATCGGTGGAATCCTGGGATGGGAATGAACACTCCAAGTGGTCTCAAGATGTCTCAAGGGGTCCCAGGGATCTTGGATGATTTTGAGCTTATATTATTTCTTGGGGCACTGTTAAATTTGGTCAAAGGCGGCGTAAAGTCTTGACCTTTTGACTGCCAGGTCGATTTCGAGCTTTGACTCAGCCAATTCGGCCAGTCAACATTATTCGGAAGCCAAAATTAGCAACAGATCATTGAGTTGGACTTCCACTTGGCCAAGTTACTCTCAGATCCCAAACTGATATGTTCCCCAGGAAATTGACTGGTTGGTGGTATACCTACCCCTCTGAAAAATATGAGTTCGTCAATGGGAAGGATTATCCCATATATTATGGAATATTATGGAAAAGAATAAATGTTCCAAACCACCAACCAGTTGATGGTTTCCACCCGACGTCAAAGAGGCCACTCTTGATGCTGCCGAGCCACGTAGTAGCTCTGCACCGAGTTGCGGAGCCTGACGCACGGTGCCGCGGGGCAAAGGTGGTGCAACATATGGCCGCGGGGACAGAGACTGGGCTGCCGCGCTCCAAGACCTGCTGCTTCTCGGCCATTCTGTTCTGCACTTCCTCGGGAAGTTGGAGGTTTTGTTGATGAAATGTTTCAGCTTCATATAGTGAAAGAGCCATAAAAAGCCCAAGAAGATTTTTCAGGACCTCCAATCACCGGCATTTCTCGTGGGGTTTAGTCACAATTGATCCGGGTACCATTCTAGTGAGGGAAAAATTCATCCGGGACCAAACCCAAGGCTGACTCCCAAGGTGTGGTAACCCAATTACACAAACCATCCTAGTAACCATCTGTGGATCACATCATCCCAACTAGTGGTATTATTTGGTTAATCCCATTCAATCCCATGTCATCATCTTCGAATATAATATATATATATATATTATAGGTGATATATATATATACAGAGAGAGAGAGAGATACATAATATATGTATATTATATATATAACAAACAGACCACAACTACCCCAGCTTTGCCACCCAACTCCCAGTCAAGGTGATCAGAGATCCTCCCCAAATGGAACAGCATTCCCAGTTCATGGATTAATCCCCCAACAAAAATCGGCTAGTAATCCCTGAGCGATTCTTCCATCAACCATTATTTATCAGTCGTATCACTTAAAACCCCCCATTCAGTGACTATAGATCCCGTATAGTCATCCATCAACCGTCAGTCATTATCATTATCTGCACTTAAATCATGTATATATATATATATCCCCATAGTTTCATGGCAAAACCCCTATGAAATCCCCTATACAATTCCCATCATCAAACCTGGAATCAATAAACCCATCATTGATCAGTTATATCATGTTGTATCACTATCCCCTTTGTTTGTAGGTATATCACTATAATCGTCTCCATAAATGTTATAAAATCATATAATAATCATCATTGATGTGGTTAAAATAATCATAAAACCTCCCCCAAATCACCATTTTTATGGGTGGTATAAACCATCAAACACGGGGTGGTTGATGACTGTTTTAAAATGTTTTAAACGCCCTATCCAGTGACGACTCCACCAGGCCCGCCAGGATCCGCCAGGGCACCATCTCCGCGTTGGACGCCTCGTCCTTGGCCTGGCCGTACTCCGCCTGCGCCGTAGTGGCCACCGTGGCGGCCTTCTCCGCCAGCGATTCTCAGCGGAGCCACGGTGCCGAGGAAATCGCCATGGAAAAAGGCTGGGAAAATGAGATTTCCACACCAAAAATGTTGGGATTTAAGAGTTGATAGGAAAAAATACAATGGTGATTTCGTGAATCAAAGATTGATCAGAATGGGAAATTAGAGTTCATTCGTGACAGCTAAGTTGGTTTATAACTAGTCTAATGAGTTGGTTTCTGGTGATGAAATCTCCAAAAAGTATAAAAGTATATAAAAGTTTGATAGGATTACGAACCAGCCTATAACTAGGTGGCCCCCTTCCCGTAGGGTGGTGATGCTCCCCTGCCAAGAATGGGGTTCGGGCCCATCATTACATAGTCTTATCACTCGGGTCTCATCTACCAGTTCAATGGGAACAATCCAATTACAACCGGGAGCGCCCATTGTACAGACTAGTTGTTCTCACTAAGGTGACCACTTAGAGGCTGGAAACTTATGAGGACGGCACCACGGCAACTTCTTGGCCTAGCCATAGCCATGTCCTTTTGGAAACCCACTTCTTTGGAGGAACCCCATTGAGGATTCGAAGTCGCCAGAAACGTCACCAAGGTACTTTGGGCTTCGCACTTCTTTTCCGCTTCCTTGAACTTGGCATCTGCTTTCTCGGCCGCCTTGGTGTGCCGTGGCCGCATCCCCAGGCCCCTTTTTTAATGATCATCAAAAATGAATGGGTGCTGTTTGGGGTATGATGGTGGTATGTCTATATTTGTTCAAACATAGTGTTGATCTATATATATAGAGAGAGAGAGAGAGATTCCTGGCCAGGGAAAAGGCAAACTCCACGTTGATCTTTTGTGGACCCATGTGGGGCAACCATTCCTGTTATGAAGACAGGACTCAGTCTCTACTTCATGATAGCCTTGCGGACATGCAGGTAGAACCACAGAATCCCCTATCACGACATATTGTTTCTTAACAGACTTATGTTTGAAAGGCTTACTCAAACATCAACTTCAAAAGGCACCTTCAATGTTCATTCTCTTTCGCAAAACTCTCACGGAAATCTCCAGGTCACATGCACAATCATGCACTTAACAATGTTTCAATGATATCCAGCTTTCGCAAGTGTTTCACCAATAGAAATCTTACTTTCGCAAACTTGAAAAAGGTGTAAAGTCATTTCATTGGGGCCAAGAGCCCCTGGTCCAAGTTTTTCACATCCAATCTGTAACAAGCTACAGCTTCGCCTGCTTGCTCGTACCCAGTCAAGTGCTTCCTATTTGTTGTCCCATTCCCGTTATCCACAGATGTTTCATGAAAATTCTGTGGTTGCTGTCAAAACCCAAAAATTGTGGTCCCTTGAATCAACTTCAATCCGTATGCTTCCGGGTGAGCTTGACATGTTTGCTAGCAAGATCCCCATCAACATATGGGGACATCCGCATGCCGCCCAGGGCGTTGGAAAATCGCTCTTCGTGGCAAACGATTGATTTTGATTGCTTCAATCCCCATCTTTTGTAGAAATCCCCATGTTCATTATGTGAAATCCCCATCATTTCTTGCTTTGATACTCATAGTTTCTTTCTGAAATCCTCCAGTTTTGCTGCTGAATTCCACATTTGCAGGGAAAAAAAACCGGCGTTCCTCGAAGTATTTCCGTGGTCGGGTGATGCATTCCCATTTTTCTCCCCGTGAAATCCCCATTCTTTGTGGGTAAATCTTATGGACATCTTCAAGTTGGGCGCCTCCTGCGCTGAACGTGCGATGCCGCCAGCTGCCGCTGTTTCGGTGGCCAACCTCAGGCCCCCAATGGGAGGCCCAAGTGTGTGTCTCATTCTTTCCATTCGGGTTGGATCGAATCCTCGATTTCTATCCATTTCTGGTATCCTCTGGTAGTCTAACTTGCCAAATCGACTATGTCATGATGATTTTCAGCCAGAAAAGATTGGGGACCTCTGTTGCCAGCCTAAATTCTAGGCAGAAAGTGGAAAAATATACGTTAAACAAACGGGCAAAGCAAAGTTTCACCAGGAAATGCTGGGCAATTTGTGTGGATTTCACCTATGGGGAACCATCAATTTGTTTAACTCCAAAATGATAGCCCAGGGCTATATAAAAGTTTCACGAAAGCAAGAACACGTCGGAGTCATGTTTGGTATCAAGCACGGATTTTGTGGCCAATTTTGACCAATCAGTTCCAGGTTTTTGTTGGTGACTAGGTAGATGGTCTGCCAGATGCTCAGGGTTGTTTCATGAAATCTTCGGGGACTTGTGACCATGGTAGTTGGCATTCACAAATTGGGATTGTCACACGCTAACAATGATTTCAACAGGAGTCAACCAAGAATAATTGGGGCTGTACGAGTAACATCTTGGGTCCCTCTTCTAGGCGGGAAAGAAACAAACACAAACGGATCTACCCATGCATGAACCTCAAAATGGCAATTTCCAGTAGAAGTGTCCTCTTCCATTTTTCTTAGGGTAATCGAGGTCTTAGGTCTTAGGTGGGGTGTACAACCAATAAATCAAACAAGAAGAACAGGGACAGCTCCAATCATAATTCAGTGGAGGGCAAAAGTTGAGTCGGCTCAAATGCAAAATGAAATCGATCTTGGCAGTGCCATCATGCATTGTCGTCTACATTTCACATATTTCTGAGTCCATCATATTATTCATCATCATCATCATCATCCTCGTCCTCGTCCTCGTCATCGTCATCGTCATCGTCATCATCATTGTCATCATCAATAATGATCAAATACATATAACATATAATGATTTTAATAAGAGTCATCATCATCATTATCATCATCATCATCACCATCATCATCATATTATTCTTCATGTTCATCTTCATCATCACCAATAATGATAGAAATATATATATATATAATAAAATATAAAATGATAATAGTAGCAATAATACTACTAAACAAATAAACATCATCATCAAATCGAAATCTCGGGGATGCCGTTGAACAACCCCACCCCCACAGCTCTGGCCAGATGTCCCATTCCTCAAGTCCGGAAGGGCGAATCTGGATGTATTGCAATGTTTCACCAACATGAATGAGACCATCTTTGGGGATAGTTTGTTTTTTGATTCATTGATCATCATTGATCCATATGTATATATATATATACCCAGTATATCCCCAGTGAATTAAATCAACATTCTGTGGATTCTTATGATGATGTTCCTATGATTGATGGTTAAAAAATCACGCCTATCATCCCCCGAAAAACCATGACCCAATGACCGCAATGACCGCTGTGCCCAGAGACTTCTCGACCTCTTCGCCTTTCAAATTCTTCTTCTTACGCATCTCTGCAAGCTTCAGGTTGCCTTGCCTCGGCTGGGATGTTCCGATATGTTCCGGATAAAGTGTGACTGATTTTCCACGGCAGGGTATACAAAAACACACCGAGGAGTAAGTTCCAGCCCCCAGATTTCTGGGGGATATAACATGATATCACCAACAAAAAACCATGGGAATAGAACTGATATAACATGATATAACTAAGAGTATCGGGGGTTCCAACGGGATGATGATGAGTGGCCAAGCAGCCTAGTGGCCGCAAGTCGCTAGGCTTCCAACACGTGTGGCTCCTTCGATATAGATCCATGTAAAGGTCATAAACCATTGTGGGCAAAAAGTGTGGATGTCACAGACGCAAAGAGCGAGATGAGCCAACAGCGGAAATCGAACCATGTTTTGATGGATAGTCCATGTTGCAAGTTGCTTCAACACCCCAAAAAGGATCAAAAAAGGGACGTTGCTAGTGATATTCTATATAACCCAGCATTCATCCCATAATCCAGTGGAGATATTCCATTCATCTGGGTAATTTATATACTGTATATATATATTACATGAGTGTGCAAAATGTAGCGCCAAGTTTCGTCTTCTCCTGTATGAGCCTCTTGATCCTCAGGAGACCAGGGAGGAATTTCTTGGTCAAGGGACGGTGTCCGAAAGTACGATCGCCCCATAAATTGGGCTCAGGACTGAGCCGCAGATCGTCCAAGTTGGTCTCTGAAGTCAAGGGTCTTGAGGTCCGATTTGGCAGTGGGTCAAAACCTTGTACCCCTGGTGAACATCAAAATAGCTGGTAAATGGATGTTCATCCCATAAAAAATGGTATTTATAGGTATTGATCCATACCCATTTCAAGAACCCCCATGTTTGACCCAGCCAAACAGACGCTACTCTTAGAAGTGTCCACTTCAGCCATGATCTCATGAGCTGAACAGAAGTTGTGGGGCAGTTCCATAAGGTGATGCTAAGGCCCTCCAGAACAAGAAAACATTAGGTTGGAACTAGTCACTTAGTCACTTGGGGGCTTTAAATGGGGCTGCTGTGGCCAATATTCTGGAGGTCGCTTTTTTTCGGTGATATCGATACCTCGGCTTTTTTTGTTTCTTGAAGTACTGGCTGCAGCTATGGGATTTTAACATATTTTAACATCTTCCAGCTATTGGATTTCCATAGTGGCCTTGGTGTACATCAATATACCCTCCGGTAATTTAACATAGCTATTGAAAATGGCCATAGAAATAGTGGATTTACCCATTGAAAATGGTGATTTTCCATAGTTCTGTTAGTTTACTGGAGGGTAGTACATGAATATCTCCGAGCCTTGATCGCACCAGCTGTATGGAGCCCATGTTTGCTGACCAACAGCAACACCGATTTTTGATGATGTTTGATCGAAAAAGTGTGTGGCTTATGTGGCAGTGTGTCAAAACCTTGTACCCCTGTAGTTCACATCAAAATAGCTGGGATTTATGGATGTTCATCCCCCTAAAAATGGTATTAATAGGTATTGATCCATAGCCATGTAGCTTATAATGATTGCAAAAGCATGGAAAAAAACGCTAGTGATCTCTTGGTTGTGGTAGCGGAATATCCCCAGATTCTTTCAATCACAACTGGCGTGCCCATCGGCATCAACGCCAGGTGTCTCTTCCTCAACCTTCTTTGCAAGCTCACCGTACTTCTTATCCTGGAAAGATCAGATTGGCTGATGAAATTTGCTGTGGTTCAAAGGAAAACAGGTCAAACCATTCCTTCTAGATTTCCCAAGGGGTGGATTGAACAATGGGAAAATAAAGAATCGCAATCAGCTCAGGTGATTTTCCGAAATTCTGGTGGCAAAATTGCCACTGCTCAGATTACCGTTCCAAAAAAAGCAGTGGACCATGGCCAGTACTTGGTCCATTGACAGGTTTGGGAGCAGAAAAAATCACCAGCTCCAAGGCTGGGCCATGCCCCAGATATGAAATACCCCAACCAGGGAGCCCAGCAGCTGGACCATGCTTTTGGCTGCCCTCCGAGGTGCACTTTGGCACAGAAACTGCCTTGACTCAATGGCTGTGTCTGAAAAGCGGTACCCCAAAAATTGATGCTTGAAATGGGCTGATCATCCTTTTTTTCCTCAGGAAAATGACACTGGGGATCTTCCCCACTTTCAAACACATCCATTTCTGATCCTGGTTTTACATAGAATTATAGTCTATTTGGCCCACTATCCTAAGCAGCGCCGCGAGTTTCACTATGTTTCACTCAAATCTGAAAGTGTCGCCAAGGGATTTGCTTTGTAGACTGAGGCCAACAACTCTCCATGGGGCAAAACTGCTTGAATACTGCCGAGATTAGCATCCAACTTCTCAGCAATTTCTCTGTGAGTATCCAGAGCCAAGGCAGAACCACTTGCCTCAAAACGTAGCACCTCATGGCCGGCCAAACTCGAGCATGTCAGCAGAAATACGTCGTCTTGACAAACCAAATCCAGTTGCAGCACACGGACAGGCTCATTGACACGAGGCGTGTAGTCGTGGCAAATGTAGCGACGGCTGGCTGGGGTAAAACTCAACAGTTCACTCCATGATGTTAGAGATGGAATCTTGCATTGTTTTTCACCATTGCCTCCGCAAGCCACAGCAGTGCCATCACTTCGCAGAAAAACTGAATGAAAAGCACCTGCGGAAACGTGGGTATACGATATGCCAGCTTTCAAAGGTGGAATCTTGCACTGGTTGTCTCGATTGTGTCCACAAGCCACAGTGGTACCATCATTTCGGAGAAGCACTGTATGACTGCAGCCTGCAGAAACCTGGGTGTATGACATGCCAGCAGTCAAAGGTGGAATCATGCATTGTAAATAATTATTGCATCCGAAAGCCACAGCAGCACCATCACTTCGCAGAAGCACTGTATGCAGGTAGCGTGTGGAAACCTGGGTGTATGACATGTCACCAATCAAAGGTGGAATGTTGCATTGTTGATGTGCATTTTGTCCGCAAGCCACAGCAGTGCCATCACTTCGGAGAAGCACTGTATGCAAGTCGCCTGCAGAAACATGGGTATACGATATGCCTTCATCCAAGGGTGGAATGTTGCACTGGCCATATTCATTGTCTCCGCAAGCCACAGCAGTGCCATCGCTTCGGAGAAGGGCTGTATGCTCGCAGCCTGCAGAAACCTGTGTGTATGACACACCCGCATCCAAAGGTGGAATGTCACACTTTCCATTTGCATTGCGTCCACAAGCCACAGCAGCACCATCACTTCGCAGAAGCACTGTATGCAAGTAGCCTGCAGAAACCTGGGTGTATGACATGCCGGCAGTCAAAGGTGGAATGTCACACTGCCCATATCCATTGTCTCCGCAAGCCATAGCCGTGCCATCATTTAGCAGAAGCACTGTATGCTGGAAACCTGCAGCTTCCATGGCAAAACCATCAAGGAATTGGTGAAAAATTGGGACTCTCGTGCCAATTTGTTGCAAATCGTTCAGCTGGTCTGGCCAAATGATCATAACTCAGAACCTACTCCCAGGTATAGGGCTATCTTTGCAGTTCCAAGAAGTTGATATATGGCTACAGTATAATCTAGATGGGATCCCAAACTAAAGTTTAGCTTGTTGGGCTTATCACCGTGCTGAGAAATATACCCATAATACCCCCAACTGCACCCCCAGCAGGATGTCCGTCTGGATTCGTCTGAACATACCAAAATCCCATACTCTATGTCATGTCCCATTAACATATCTATTTTGGGGTGTCCCGTATCTTTGTACAAACCCATGAACTAATTATTCTGGACAAGTCTGAAAATATTCCAGAGACCTGAAATCAGGTAATTCTGGGTGGCACCCTCTATGTATTAATCATCATTGACCCATGGTGAGGAGATGTACATGGCTACTCTTGGATGCCCTGGCAGGCTGAGATTGGCCACTGATTTGCCCCAGCACCAAGTAGTCCTCGGCTTCATATTCCTTCTCCAACGCTGTCAGGGCATCCTTCTCCTGGGAGACGAAAGCAAATAGCGCAGCGATGCTGGTCCGTTGACATGGCATCAATGATACCATGTGTACATACAATGTATATACTGTATAAATATATACTGTGTATGTGTATATATATATATATGTATGTATGTATGTATGTATATATATGTATGTATGTATATATATACATTTGTGTATATATATATATATGTATGTATATACATATGTACATATGTATATATGTGTGTGTATGGCTATATACATTTGTGTATATATATATATATATGTCTATATATATATACATATATATATACATATTGTGTACATGTGTACATATGGCTATGTATATATATATACTGTATATATATATAATGTGTATATATATAATGTGTATATATAAGTATATATATATACACAATGTACATAGGTATGTATACATATACTACAGTATGAATATATAATATATGAATATACTACACTTGAACCAACATGTACCTGGAACCCCAATAACATCCATATTTGGGGTTTGACCCCTTTTTTTGAGGGTCGAAACTCAAAACCTGTTACCCTGTAGTTCACTGTGGATGCGCATGTCAGCATCAAGCAGGATTCATTCCAGTTTACTAAAGCAACTCAACAGGATCGTATGACGTATGACATGTATGACACTGTCAAGCTTCTTCTCACCTAAATCCTAAATTTCTGAGACCCAAATCCTCCTCGTTTTTTACTGTGGAGATGGGATTGCCAAGCTTTACCAATCACCAAAAATTGGTAACTATTTTGGAGAAAAAAAATTGAAACCATTAATCAGATTGTTATGCCGTTCGCAAATAATTTACACATGGGGGCACTGACCATTGGTTGAAAGTAGCTCATGACCCAGTGAATAACTGGAGTTCATCCCATGTATAGCCTGGAAACAAACCACAACTGTACCACCATCTACGCTATATCCCTATGCTACACACCTGCGGTTGTAGGTTGGGGTATAAATTGTGTGGTTTAATCATATGGGCTCAAAGTTATAAACCCCTGAATTATCGAGGGTTTATTCTCAATAGAATCATGCTTGACCATCGCTTTCCCATTTTCGTTGAGTTGGTTATGTCATGTCCCTTTCAAATCCTATTTTGGCATATGATTCTTGTAGCTTAACCACACATGGACATGACAGTCGGGTACCCCAAACTCCCGTATGTTAAAATCCTGCTGGATTTCCCTATTTAAATGGCCATTTCAATTGGGAGTAGTTGTTTTCAGTACACACCATTTTTAGACATACCCAAATATCACAATTGTGGTGTTGTATATTCTATGATATTCCACGAAAAATCGCATTTTTGATGTCCCCTCTCTGGTGATACTGTGGAAGAAATCCTGCACCAGTTAGTAGATGGAAGGAATCCCGCGGTCCCATTGGTTACCGGTGCAGGATTTCGGAACCATCCACAGTATGAATGGTGAATTGAAGGGCTTTTTTCATGGTTAATATTGGTTAATAATGGTGAATTGAAAGTATTATATTAATGGTTAATGCTTAATATGGGTCTTTAATGGTGATTGACTAATTAATATTCACATATATTAACCATTAATATCATACTAAGAGCCATTGATTTTAATCTATATAGTACTAAGACTCATATTAATAATAACCCTTATGAACCATATTAAGAAGAACAGCTTGTGGTGGTAACCATTTATACATTACCCTCTGGTAAACGTTTACATAACTATGGAAAATCACCATGTTTCATGGGAAAATCTACTATTTCAATGGCCATTTTCAATAGCTATGTTAGTCATTACCAGAGGGTATAACTCTGGTTTCCCACCAAATGTTGGGATATAACCTCTAGAACTATGGTTATATATATCCTAACTACTATGTAGAATTATTAATTACTGGTGATATCCTAACTGTAGAAGCACAGTACCATGGCGGTCCCATTTCGGCCCGGCCCAGGGCCCGGTGCCTTCTTCCAAGCCGCCTGCGCCTGGGATGAGTTCAGAAGGGATTCCGGTGATATCCCAGAAGAATCATCCGCAACGTACCGTGTTTTAAACAAGGCTTGGTAATTTGATCAGTAAGACACGTATGTATGTGTATATATATATATACATATATATATACATATATATATACATATATATATATACATATATATATACATTATTTCATCATTTAATCATACGTCTTGAATCTGTGAAAATGAGAGTTTGACCAAATTTGACTTGCCAAAACAACAGATGTCAACACAAGAATGAGGATTCGACCAGTAAGAATGGGGAAGTCAAAGCAACAAAGATGGAGATAATGCCATCAAGAAATTTGCGGCTATCAATCACTAGCAGTCACGACACAAACCGAAACACGGTTGAAATCTCCAGCAGAAAAGGATGTGTCCCAAAAGGGGAACTTCGAAACCATTGGTATCATTGGTTTCCCCTGCGATCAACTCTTGGAAGGTTTGGAAGGTGATTTCAATCCTTTCCAAAACAGGGGAATTTACACGGACTGCAGTTTCAAAGCCGAGAAATCGCCTGATCCAGGGGCCTTTTTTTTAGCCGGTGACAGGTAGTTTCTACACACCCTACGGCTAAATCGTCATATTGGCCCCATGTGGGTTTGTCTGAAAATAGGGTATATTCCCAATGAAATAGCCATTTAATAGGGATAATGATCAGCAAAACCATTGGGTACAATGGGGTACACTATTTTCAGACACACCCATGTTACTTCAGTAGAAGACGCTACATGACCCACGGTTTTTGTCCCCAGATATCTTGGGCTACCTCCAGCAACACCTCCTCCAAGCATCCGGGAGATTTACTGCTCGATTTACACCGCAGTGTTGCTACACGGCTACCCTTTGGTAAACGTTTACAGTTTGCGACGTAGAAAATTGCCATAGAAATAGTTGATTTATAGTTGATTTACCCATTAAAAATAATGATTTTCCATAGTCATGCTGGTTTGTCAGAGGCTAGGTCTGGATCATTTTTTTGGAACCCCAAACTCTGATGTTTTCACCATCCGTGCCTGCCTTGTCAGCTTGGTGGTCAACCAGTCAATCTATGACTGGGGGTTGATATACTGTAACTGAAATCATTCACCAGAGTATATATGTGCATGTACATATGTATATGTGTACAAGAGTGTACAAATATTTTTTTTTGTAGCCGCTAGCTATATCCCGTTTTGGTGGTTCATTCGCACTTTTTTTCCACGGTTAAACCCCAATGAACACCCTGTGTGTCAGGTGCCAACCAGTTGTGAGTACTCAATATATCCTACTATATCTCACATAATGCCATGTTATCTCAACTGGTATCTCCATCCGTTTTGATTGGTACAGTAACTGCTATTTAAATTCCCCCCCACATACCTCAATCAAATTATATCCCAAATATTCCAAATCATATCCCGATATTTATCCCCCTGTATTGTCCATTATAGTCCACTCAAATGACTCATACCCCGAGCCTCTTTGCCCGATTCCATCTTCTTCTGCGCATCTTCCTTGATCTCTTCCAGCCTCGTTCTGCTCAAAAACTACCAGCGTGGAAAATAAAAAAATGTTCAAAGGAAGATGTCAGTGGGGACAATTAAACAATACGTCCAATTCTGATCTTCAAGATCTTACATCATCAGCAGCCTCTTTTCAGCCAAGGGTAAATCGAGGTAGCCACCACAGCCAAATGATTGTTCTACTATCGAAGTCCCGAAAAATGTCCACAACAGGAAATCAGTTTAATTGTAATCACTACTGTTACTATTTATATTAACCATACTATTATTACTATTACAACTGTCATTTTATACATATTATAAGTAAGAGGGTTCATGATTGGTGTTTTGATTGAAATGCCTGAGCCGGGATGATGAATTTGATGCTGAGGCAACCTGAACCCAAGCGAATTGATCACTTTAATAGGCCTACGAGTTTCCTATTTTCTTGTTTCTATCAAAATCACCATGGTCCATGGTACTATTCTTGGCCTCGGCCACTTGGCTCAGCTCCTCTCGGGAAAAAATGAGTCCAAGAGGCTTTTTGGCACCCATCTCCAACTCATCCTGGAGCGAAAGAAGATCGTATCCCACCTTGGGACCTTACGAGAAGCTACCAAGATATGTTTTCCTGGCAAGCAAACCAAAATGTGGAAAATTCATGTCTCTCTATTGATATTTATATATCATATATATATACACATGAATTACATATACATAGATTATATGCATCAATTACATACATATTTACATATTTACATATTTACACATATACATATTGACATATATACATATATACATATATACATATATACATATATACATATATACATATATACATATATATACATGTATACATGTATACATATATACATATATACATATATACATACATACATACATACATACATACATACATACATAC